CTGACTATAGGAAAGTTGAAGTAACCCCTCTTGTCATGTTATCTTGTGCAGAGATTTGTTTTGTCATTGTGAATTTGTATGCACCGGTCTAAGTATGAAATAGATAAGTCGCTCTCACTGGTCTCCTTTATTTATTGCTCAGGTGGGTATCTCAGTGCAAGGGAATTGGCTATATGCTGATTATTGAACGATATTAGATCATCACTCATCGAATGAATCCCGGCTCGACAACATATTGGAGTCTAAACATGTCCAGGTTCAAAACATACTTGATCCAAATAACAACACAGTTTCTACTTTTGTAACTGAAATGAATGTTTTGATTTTAAAGACATATCGTATCTCAATTACTATTGACAACTTTACATCATACCTTCCCTATATGTTCTGTTTTAAATCACACACACACACACACACACACACACACACACACACACACACACACACACACACACACTATACAATTAACCACCGATACAAAATACCTTTAAGCATGTTTCACACGTTAACACTGATACAACCTGAAGATGCATGTGAAATCCAAAAGCATAATACCTAGGTGCTAAATCTTTTGGAGAATATCTCGTGTCTTTTCCGCTCGTGTCCTTGTGTCTTTCTTTGAATATACTCGTCTAAATATAACGCTTTTCACCACACGCATTACGCAAAAAATGCCTAGTCTAAATTGCGAAGTTGAGTTCAGGTCATACATGTTACAGTGGTCAGATTTTTTTAATGGAAATTTTATCTTGCTGAAATAAAAGGTACATTTCAGTTGCTTTTAACCCTGGTTTTGACATAGCCGAGAGAATAGCTAATGAACTACGATGAATTAAGGATAATTTGTCCGGAGTGAATGAATCTCCCGAGATATCGGCGAGGAAATTACAGCTTTTACACCTTTCATTCTCGAGGAACAGATTATCAGTAATTCCGAGTTCCATGTAGGTTATTCTAAATATTACTCATTATCATTTTAAGAAGGAAAATTTTAAAAAAACGTACGAAATGTCAACCCTGCAAAGATTCTTCTCTGAAGTTAGCCTATTGTTCAGATGACCTCGGGGGAAGGGGTACGCCAGAAACTTGATTGTGAGACCGAATCCTGGATTTGCCCTGATTATGTTTCCTGATTTGTCAGCGTAATACCCATAACCCCTTGTGTCACCAAAGTGTCTGTGGCCTGCGTTATTTAGGGCTTTCCTCCCATGAAGCTGACATGCCTTGGCATGACTAATACTGTTTATATTCATGTGCGGAGGATGTATAAAGGATGAATAAAATATTTATGCGTGCAGCTGAATTTAATTTTGATATACTGTAGTTCCATTTCAACGATTCTATATTCACTTCATTTCATGGTTACATTGATCTGATTTTTGGAGCAGAAGGACCTGTACCACTCAATTGATTTTATCATATGTTTGATTTTCAATTTAACATATCTTAAGTCACCGATATTATATTTAACAAATGAGGCGTACTGACGCTCAGTCAGCTCTGATATATGTCTTACACGTGGTTTTAGCTGTTGAAATATATCGCATAATACACAGCTGTTAAAGAGTATCTTAGACATCTTATCGTTGAAAATCAATACGGCGTTAAACCAACTTTACTCACTCAGATGAAATCATGTACAATGGATGTTGTCATATCGCATGTTTCTGAACAAAACACGATGTGAAATCACAACCATTCAACTGACCATTCATCATTGTTAAATGCAGATGTGCAAATATTGTAAATTGTTACATTCGATCTACCCACACTTAATATTCACAATGTAATATTCACCATTAGAAAACAATTATCCCAGACAAGGGTGAAAACTGTCCTGCTACTAGGTTCGTTAAGAACGAAAGAGCATGCACGGTTATACCGCAAAAGTTGGAGCTGCTGGAATATTGTCAAGTGAAAGTTAACAATTGGAAAGTTTAAGTCATCTCTCTTGTCATACAGTCTTGTGGAGAGTGGTTTGTAACTCTGAATTTTTATGCATAGATCTAAAGATGAAATAGATGAAGCGGTCTTACTGGTCTCCTTTATTTCTAGATCAGGTGGAATGGGAATTGGTATTTGATGGTTATTGAACGATATCAGATGATTGATATACCTGTAGTTCAAGTTAAACGTCTTGGCCAAATTACCTTGTTTTGACTTGAGCCGAAATTCTGATTCATATGCATAAAGCAACATAGCAGGAAGGGAGCGGACAATTGGTGCCCATGGGGATGCCTACTTTTTGCCTAAATGCCTTTCCCCCACATATTACATAGATGTTATCAATGAGGAAGTCAAACATTTCACATATTTTTTTTTCAGATTGCAATAGCTTTCATTTTTGACAAATTGACCTGAACCTCTGAGTGAGTGAGTGAGTTGGGTTTAACGCCGCTTTTAACAGTATTCCAGTTATATCACGGCGTGTCAGCTTAATGTGGGAGGAAAGCCCGAAGTGATGCAGGTCTCAGACATTTACTACTTCGGTGAAACCCACGAGCCCGGGTATGGTGCTGACAAACCTAGAAACATAATCGGGGTGAACCGGGATTCGAACCCACAATCATAGGTTTCTGGCGTGTCCAGGGGACGCAACTCTGCACAGCGAATCGCGGCGCCTTAGACGACTGGGCCACCCGTGCCCCCCTGAACCTCTGAAGATAGATATGCAACTTCAAATATATCTATGGTCATCATGTTTTGTAACAAAAGCCCAATGGATCAAGGAATGAAATGTTTCATGAAGTTTGTAATGTGGGATTTTCTAAGAGTTTTTAAGAATCCACATGATATTAATTCCTCTTGTCTTAGGTACAACGAATGTAGGCTACAGGGTTGCATGGTGACAACCCCGTGTAGATCCGGGTTAGATTTAGTTTTCAGCAACCCTTGCTTTCGTAAGAGGGGACTAAAAGGATAGGGTGGTCAGGCTCGCGGACGTGGTTGATCCATGTCATCGTATCCCTATTGCATAAATTGATGTTTATGATGTCAATCACTTTATTGTCTTGTCCACATTCGCTTATTTACAGACTGCCGTAATATACCTGGAATGTTACTGAGTGAGGCATAAAACAGCAACAGGTAGAATGATACGAATTTTAGTTTATATTCTTATATTGATGTTTACTTTCTCTTTCAACAAATAATATGAGGTCCGTGCCTCTTTAATCATCCCTCATATCACATCCGAAACGTGTTTTGAAAGTAGGACAACCATTGTTTGCGTTACGGAAACAACAGGTCGTGTTACTTCGGTTACATCACGCACGGGGCACATGTTAATGGAGGTAAACACACCTCCCCAATTGTTGTGCAGGAGAAGGAGCATTGTGAAGCAGCTCTCACACTTTGTCGAGGTGGTTGCCGAGCTCTCCCGAGCCTAACTCGGTTATAAACGAGTATCATACAAGTACGCTACGAGTGTGTTACGAGCTCCATAGGGGTGAGTGACTGAGTTGGATTTAACGCCGCTTTTAACATTATTCCAGTTATATCACGTCGTGTCAGCTTAATGTGGGAGGAAAGCCCGAAGTGATGCAGGTCTCAGACGTTTACCACTTCGGTGAAACCCACGAGCACGGGTATGGTCCTGACAAACCTAGAAACATAATCAGGGCGAACCGGGATTCCAACCCATAGGAGTCCGATAGGAGTCCAATAAATTCTGTACGAGCACCAGGAGGTCGCCACGAGGGTACTACGAGTAGGACGAGTGTGTTACGAGTTTGTTACGAGCTTACGAGGAGTTGGGTGGCGGCCCGACTGTGTGAGCACTTCCAGAAGTCTCGTAGATCAGCACGAGGTACCCCGAGTTACCCCGAGTTTAGTACGACTTCGCTACGAGCTCCATACGAGTACCCCCGAGTCAGCTCGGGTCCATACTCGGGACGCAACGCGGCAAAGTGTGAGAGCTACTTTAGTCCAGAACAGATGACACCCAGAGACCATATAATATCTATTATATGGTCTCTGATGACACCTGAATGGAAAAAAAATGTCATTGTCAAAGAGCAACAGTGACTGCATTTATCAATGATAATTATCTACGCTCATACGACAGCGGAGGTAGCTGTCTATTCACATAGTGCAGTCAGAGGTATATAACAGTGGTTAGGGTTAATGATAGTGTCCAAATACAGTAAACTACGGGTATAACGAACTGAAAGGGACCACCTATTTTAGTTCGTTATAACCGTAGTTCGTTATAAGCATATATCCAGCGTGTATACAACAAATGGACGGGACCAAAAGTATACAGTTCGTTATATCCGCCAGTTGGTTATAAGCGTGTTCGTTATAACCATAGTTTACTGTGTGTCGGTTAAGTCATCGTATAATGTGCAGGATGTGTGTAAATGTAATCAAAGTGACTTCCACCACATCAAAGATCATTACCTCTATGAGTACAGTTTGTGAATGTGTAAAACGTAAATAATATATACTTCTCAACATTTGATAGGTATAATCTGAGTGTCCAGATTGGGGATATATCTGACGCGATTTGTGCATTGACGCATGCTAAAGTTTTGGCAAACATTTTGATACATTGTTGTCTCCTGATTTTAGAGCTAGCAAAGTATCCATATCGGGAGTTGAATACTAACGTTCAGACTTATGTATCTGAGTGAACTACACATCCATTTTGCCATCGTCTTGGGAAATAATTGTACAGTAGCCTGTATGCAGAAAAGATTAACTTCTCCCCATCCCGTATCTCAACATAAACCAGGGCGAACTGGGTTCGACTTTTGTTTATTATTGCTTGAAATGACGCTCAGCATGCGTCCGTTACACGCCCAAATCGCATCCTACTACTATGTCAGAATAACCCGTCACGTATATACCCTACCTTGACACTCAGAATATACCTTCCAAAAGTGTTGTTTCTAAAAATAGTACGATGAGCTAAGCATAACATTTAACTGTCGGCCTTCATATACCTGAGATTAAATCTACCAGGTACTTTGTGCACCTGTCACATTGCAAACGTGGTCATGTCATAGCATGATCGGTGTTATATACACGTGACGTAAGTGGGGGGAACCATGAAATGCCCTTTCTCGACATCCAGGTAAGAACGCAGTTTAACTTGATCTCGTTATAACAGTTTTAACACTATTACTGATTACATGAAATCATTTGCTGATTGTTTAGTGCCAAAGCTCAGTGTTAAGAACGTTTCTGTGTCAGTAATATAAGCCTCAGTGAACTCAATGCTTTTCTAGATGTTGTGTGAAGCTTATCGGTGGAAATGGATGTTGCTTGTCTCTTCCCTTCACTAAATGGATGTACTCGCTCAAAGTACGAAAAATAAGTTAATAATGTGAATTTATTTGTGAGGTGAGGTGAAATTTGGGTTTAACGTCGCGTCCAAGATCATTGCACTTATATAGCGACGTGCATGTCCGTGTGTGTGTTTGTGTGGCTGCTTGTACTAGTACGGACTGATGCCGATTTATAGTGCTAGCTCACTGAGATACCATGCCGCAGTTTAACATGAATACCCCAATCAGACACAGTATACTGACTCCGAGCCGACCAGTCCTTGTTTTAGCCCCTTAATGCCGAGCGCCAGACAAGGTAACAACAAGTACCATATTTTAACGTCTTTTGGTCTCCGGGCGGACGCTCTACCACTAGACCACGGAGGCGGTCTGAATTTATTTGTTCACACTAGATTATGGACAGTTGAATCTAAGCCAATTCATTGACCGTACTGTTAACGTTACAATGAAGTATACTATACTATAATATTTATTGAATTTTCAACTCGTTCAAAGTCCATGGCATTTTTGCCGAACTGTAGCGAGAGTACTGCTGTGCGACGTAAGGGAACAAGCAGACACATATACATTTGCAAACTGTATGAGTGGCGGATGGTGCTAGAAGGGAAAGACACGCTTACTCTTTTCGCGAACACCAGGTGTCATCACTGATTTTCACCGCTCTTTTGCCTGTTTCGAGACTACGTTCGAAACTGGTTGTTCTCTGACGCTGACGTTATACATGTCAGTATCTTCAAATAATAGTGTTTTAATATCCTAATAAGTAAAGGAATTGATGTATCATTATCTTGAAGGTCGTAATGAATTTCAATTGGGTTTTTTAACTTTCTTTTTTTTTTAATTCAGTATATGATATTACAGAGTTATACATTGAGTAGCACGTCATGTGGTATACTTATTATTTATAGGTTACATACCTATACAGCAGACAGCAAATTTAAGTTGGCTACAGGTGTCCAACAATGTTTACAAATGGTGAAACGGGCAGGCTAGATTCGTCATGTTTATGAACTCAGCATGAAGTTAAATCCTTCCAGCACATTAGCGGAAATTGTTCATGTTAAAAGAAAAAGAACTAGAGACATATTAACTAGACAATTCATTTGCCATTTTTTTCCATTTTCTGTCAATCTGTCTTTTGTATTGTTTTTGTGTGCAATTGATTTCTCTATCCGAAATATATGATTTTAAGTCTTCAGAAACTTTTCAAGTGACAATTTGTTTTTCTTAATACTTGATACATGAATATATTTTTTGCATGACAGTATGATGTGATTTAACAGAATGTTAGAGTTGTACCAAAGTAAAACAGAGCATTTTGTAAATGTGACTTGTTTTGAACATTTTATATTCAGAAAACATTCAACTTTAGCCCAAATCTCTTAAACATGCTTACAATCCCAATATACATGAAGTATGGATTCAGTATCAGTTTCACAAAATGAGCACAGATCATCATTGAGAATTTTCATTTTAAACAATTCTTTCTTTGTATAGATGATGCGATAAATACATTTATATTGAAAATCAAGTAATTTTACATCTTTTGTACATTTTCTGTATCTGAAAAAAACATCCTACCATGATATATCTAAGTCGAGAATTGTATCCCATTTTTCACAGACTGTTGGGAGATTTGCTGTAGTTGAATTATTAATTGTTAGTTACCTCATTGCCAGGCCAGTTGCCTTTTACCTATTTTAAGTTCGACTGCTTTTCGTAAGCAGTAATTAATATGGCTAGTGTGTACAGTTTGCAAATGAGGGACACGCCTCTAAATACAGCGATATATGGCTCTGTATTTCATAAGCGTCACGTTATCTGTCCCAGGTCAGAGGAGAAGTGACATGGGTTGTACATTCAACAACGCATAGGTCGGTTATCGAGATTATATCACAAGCCGTCGCCGAGCAGTCGCTATCTGAGCATACTAACATGGTGGTAGTTACAGGTTATGATGACCTAGCGAAATAATGATTTTGTAACAACTGTAAAACAATGCGTGTTAAACCACCACAATTCCAGATCATCTAAACGTCGCCAAAACAACCACAACCAACCCGATATCTCAATGTTTTTGGTTACGTTACTATGCAGATCGTTTCCATCAATAAACTGAAAAGAAACCTATTCATTATAAGGATAAATTACATACTATGGAAGAGGAAATAAGTTATTCCCAATTTATTATCAAGATTCCCTTCAATTTATATTGAACATACTCTGAGTATTATCAGTGTTACATTCTCCGAAACGGAAACAAATACCTCCGCCTATCACTGAAGATATTAAACAATAAGGACATTATGATAAGATATATCATTATATAAACAATTATGTTCAAGGTTAAGTTACTTTTCTCTTGAATGCTCTATCACGAACTGCACGTATGTAGCGACCAGAAGTGGGATACGACCAGAACTGGGATAAACATTATAGAGAATTATATCTGTCACATGCAATTATGTGTTTAATTGACAAACATTTAATAAGAGCAAAATCATCTGCACTTCTTGTGTTTATTATTTTACTCCGTCCTGCAAAGTGCGCCAATGGCAGTGCGACTGACTCGATATCCGTCATTTGTAGCTAAATATAGCAGCGCATAAACGTGGTAATGCGGAACTAAAGCGGAATACAATTTCTTCTTTTTATAAAGATCGCTGATGAAAAAATGCAATTCCTATAAAAATGGTCGTGTTGCTTATTATCTGTAATTACTACCCATTGCCATGTTTAATTTCTAACCATGATATCACTCCCAAATGTATTATTTAATTGTCTATCATATCATAACCTTTGTGAGGTGGTGACATGTTTAATAATAGAGTAAATTTTCTGTTAAATAGCTATCTTGGCCACTTCTGAACAGTGTTTTCCTACGAAATAGCAAAAGCCAAATGAAAATAAAATGATTCTCTAATTTATATATTTTAAAGATGTTATGCCACTCATTTGTTGGGATATAAGTGAAATAATACAAGGTTCTTGGATGTTTGTGTTATGCTATTTTTCAAGATAATTTTAATTCTTCTTCTCATACACAGACACACAGGAGGAAAATGTCTAGGAGTATACACTCATGACATTATACAACAGGCGATGATGTTTACAATATATATATATGTGGGAGGGTATGTACAGTAATATAATTATAATAATTATTTTTAATATTACTGAGTGTGGCGTTAATCATCAAACAAAAAATATGATACACAACAGAGTTAAAAGGGGTACAATTACATTTGTACTATTCAAGGGATTTCTAAGCCCCAATACCTCACAGCCCTCTGGCAATTGATGCGTGTATTTTTGTTTGTATTCTCAAGTCCCAAAGTCATTTTTTGTAAATATTATTATCACTATAATGCAAGAATTTTATATTCAAAATCACTCCATTTGATTATTGTGTACTATTTTTTTTATTAATGTTGGAGGTGCATGTAACTGCTTCAAGGCATAGCAGATGCGGAATGTGAGAGTGTTAACTGGGAAACTCATTGAACCATTGTTGGTAGCTTATTGACATATATATATACATTAGAGCTTTCATAACCGTTTGGGAGCAAAATGTCCTCCTATATAAAATATTGTATGGTCTCTGATACATATGGAATCTAAATAAAATCATTTATTATGATTGAAATAATTAGAAAAGCTTCAAAATTACCACATTAAGACAAATAACATATATTTCATAAACCCATTCCTAATAGAGAATTGAACTTGTTATCTCATGCTCTGTCATCATTGACATAAGGGGGATGTGAGTAATAATAATAGTAAAATGTCTCTTAAAATTAGAAACATTTACCCATAGCATTCCGATTCTGCTCACAGGTTTGAATTGAGATTTACTATCTGCAGCCAAAAGAAAATATTAAGATTCCATTAAGTGTAGATTTTATGGGTGATATCCCATTTCTGGTCAAGGTGATATAAATAATAACATAGTAAAAATTCTCTTAAAATTATAAATATTGTCTCATAGTGTTCAGGCTTTGCTCACAGGTTTTAAATGTTATTTTCTATCAGCAGCCAAGAAGAAATGTTAAGATTTCATTAATTGTAGATTTTATGGGTGATATCCCATTTCTGGTCAAGGTGATATGAATAATATATACCGGTAGTCAAAAATCTCTTAAAATTAGAAATATTGACCCATAGCATTCAGATTCTGCTCATATGTTTGAAAGGTTATTTATTATCATCAGCCAAAAGAAAATATTAAGGTTCTGTTCACAAGTTTGAAATGTTATTTACTATCAGCAGCCAAAAGAAAATCTCAAGATTTCATTAAGTGTAGAATTTATGGGTGATATCCCATTTCTGGTCAAGGTGATATAAATAATAACATAGTAAAAATTCTCTTAAAATTATAAATATTGCCTCATAGTGTTCAAACTTTGCTCACATGTTTTAAATGTTATTTACTATCACCTGCCAAGAAGAAATCTTAAGATTTCATTAATTGTAGATTTTATAGGTGATATCCAATTTTGGTCAAGGTGAGATGAGTAATATATAGTAAAAAATCTCTTAAAATTATGAATATTGACCCACTGCATTCAGATTCTGCTCACAAGTTTGAAATGTTATTTACTATCATCAGCCAAGTGTAGTCCTTGTGTAAGCCCCTTAATTCCAGGGTAACGACGTGTACTATCTGTTAACGTCTTTTGGTATGGCGCGGCCGCTTGTCGTAACACTGACCTTCCACTCTCCTGGCAGACGTTCGTTCCACCAAATCACAGCGCCGGTCCAAAAGTGTGACATGGCAATATAGCATTGTCAAAGCAACGAACGATGGTCATGTACTCTGTGTTACCAAATCAGACAGCACAGTAACGTTATATAACTGTTTGCGTGACATGTAATAACGCCAGAGTAGAAGATGACGTAATGGTATGTCATTATTGACGTCATGTTGCCACTTGTCGAATCGCGTCAAATTATTTTTCTTTAAAGAATACACTACTGCTTCACTACAACTGCAGGTAAATCCTGTAATGTGGATATAAAAGAACATATTATATTCCTGTCTGAATCATACCATTTAAAACAATCTGTCTGTCTATTATAAATTGTCAGTCTTTTTTATCACTTGCCAAAACTACATATACATTATTTCTATTTTCGTCAATGGGTATTTTTTCAGAGTTTTGTCAGAATTATCTAGGATATAATTTTAGGTAGAATGTCCTTAATAACGCAGTTACGTAGTGTTTGTTGTTTAACGTGGCACTCAGAAATATTCCAGATATGTGTTGTTTAACGCCTCATTCAACAACATCCCAACTAGATGGTCCCGGTGGTCTGTATATAATTGTGTCAGGACCAGACAATCCAGTGATTGACATCATAAGCATCGATCTACACGATTGGAATACGATGACATGTTTAATCAACCAAGTCAGCAAGCCTTACCATCCGATCTATTTAGTCGCCATTTCCGACAATTCTTACCTGGAATCCTCTGGGGTGGTCAAGGTGTTGTTATCGCCTAATCCGAGAAGCTAGGTCAACAGCGCTTAGTACAAGTAATCATCAGGCCAGAGCACAGAGCAGTAACATTAGTGACCAAGGTATGAGTTCACAGATATGTTTTGCCATTTTCAGTAAATGTTTTTTTTACTACCTCCGATTTAAGTTTTGTACATGATGTCGATATATGATTTGAATTCCAATGTATGATATATGAAAAGTATTATGTTTTTGTTTGTTTGTTTGTTATTTAACGCCGCACTCAGCAATATTCCAGCTATATGACGGCAGTCTGTAAATAATCGAGTCTGGACCAGACATCCAGTGATTGACATCATGCGCATCTATCGACGCAATTGGGAACAATGACATGCATCAATCAAGTCAGCGAGCCTGAACCCCCGATCCCGTTAGTCGCCTCTTACGACAAGCATATTCGCCTTTTACGGCAAGCATGGGTTGCTGAATACCTATACCACCCCGGATCTTCATGGGTTTCAATGTATGATAATAATCTTATGATGATAGTTATTGACACCTTACCATGAGTGTCATATGCTATATTTACGTTCTTACACTGAATTCAACCAGGGGATACTATAACGGGTTGGGGGTGGGGCACGTGGTCAGGATTTCTTATGTCCCCACGCAACCGTCAGGTTCAAAGAGATAGTGTAAAAGAACAGATAATAAAAAAAATATATACCAAATAATGGAAATCTTTACTTGTTTTTGTAGTTATTTATGGCAGTTACCATTGCAATATATCAATAAACTAGCTGCAAGACGTAGATCTACTTTAATTTAACCCTTGTCAGTTTTGACAGTTAGATGATCAATTTCTACAAATTTTAACTTTTGTTTAATTAATCTGCTTAGTAGAATAATTACTAGACGCAAAGGCGGAGTCAATAATGCTGCAAGGTAATTATTATAAAAAAAAACCGTTATGTACGTCTATAGAATCATAATAATTTTTCTAAAAAACTCGCGGGGCCGAAAAACTACATCTTACGTTGAGTCTGTTATTTCTACAACTGATTTGGAACGAGATTATTATCACGATGACGTCACTTCCGGAAATACATGTAGCAGAAGACACCAACATTTAGACCGAGAAGAATGCGATTAATCACCAAATATAAGATGTGACAGTAATTTAGATGGATGTAATCTACCCAATAACATGTCGATGAAAGTGTTTATGTAAGTATTTTGAAAAACATATTTTTACTTCAGTGAATTTAAAGCATAAAACAACCTCGATGACTTTTGATGACGTTAGCGCCAGCAGTTCGCGGGACTATTTGTCCCGATCACTGGAGCTAAACTACGACTGTGAAGTATTACTCGGATACATTTGATCGTTCTTATGCCTACAATATACATAATTTTACACACAAGACGTGCATGTAATAATAAATAATCATATCTTGAAGAGCTATAAAAACTCGGAAACGTGGGCGAAAACCAAAGGTCTCGATGGTTTACGCACGAGCCTGACCATTACAAATACCATGCTCTTGAAAATGTCATTGAAATACGTGTAAGTGACATTGAATATAATAGTCAAGGTTTTCAATAAAATATGTCTTATGTTAATGACAAATTATTGCAGGGTGAAAAATTGCATCATAATATTGTTTGAGGCACTGAAAGAATAGAATTTTCAGTCACAGCGCCAATTATATATCACGAACACGACTCTCCAAATCATACGAGTTTACTCAGAAGGGAGACAAAAATACAAACTAGGATTACAGTGGAAACGAAATGCGAATTACGCTAAAAGAATACAAACGAAATACGATTCAAATGCGATAACGAAAAAAAAGAAAATAAACATAGTGGCGCAAGTTAATTCTGCTTTTCGTTATCGCATTAACGACCCGTGCTTGAATGACATATTTGTGAGAGCATACACTCTGCATATGTTTCTGCAGGTTATTATGAAGCATGAAATTGAGGGTCCATTCCATTAAACCTGAACTGCATGTAGCTTTCTTAAATATAATACGTCAACATCAGAGAATAATCAGTCTTGATTATTTGCCGAAACAGATTCCATGGGTGTAAAAGACAACTAGAGGTGAAAATTATATGAATTAGTCCATGCGCCAGACCAGTTATTGGTACAACCTGGGGTACGCTTTTTTAAAAGTAATATATCCACAGATGAAAAAAAACACTTTAAAAACAATCAGGGACCCATCACTTAGTGGTGGTAATCACCACATGATTTTACAAGCAATTTACTGAAGAATGACCTCTCAAAATGTCGATAGCCTGATTATCTACACGTTGGTATATGTAATGTAGTAATAAGGTAGTCATGTAGGCCATCAGAGGTCAAAAGGTCACGAAATGTGACCCCTGCCTAAAATCGTACCACCTGTCAATACACTGCAGATACCACATCAATGAGACTTTCTCATCCCATATGGGTTATAATTGAAGCCAAGAAGTAACCAAGTCTATTAAAAGTCTGTAAAAGTGGAATTCATTTTGTAGTGTGTAGTGGTACAGAACGAATTTTGATGCAATTTCAGAAAAAAAACATGCAAAATTGTAGGAAGTTGGCCTGCTAGAAATATGTCACTCCAAATCATAACAAACAAATTCTAGATGTATTCAGTACTGACATTTTGCCACCCTAGGTGTTACCGCTTTATAAAAAAATGGGGTATGGCTCATGGACTAAATAGATAGTCAAAATCAGTGATGACACGAAAAGGGTAAGGATGTCCTGTCCTACCAGCAAGACGTGGGACTCTGACGTACTGCATTTGAAGTGTTTTCCAAAGCCGAAAGTGAATTAAGATTAAACCGGAAGCTCCTCTTCTGTTCTTATGAAGGTAGCTGGATGAATGGGGGTGTATTTATTGGTCTGGTTAAAATAGCTAAAGGCCTGGGACCTTGTGTCGTTTTCAGTTTCAACTGATCAGTAATTGCGTTATCGATTGTGAGGTCTACTTTAGTACTATGATTTGAATGTCAAGATACATAGGACCTCCTGGATTGAAAGTTTGGGCATGTTTTATTCATGTGTTTTACTTAGCCGCTTTTATTTACTCTAACCACCAATGACCTCATTTTAGCAGAGATTTCTTATGATTATGGAAATCATTTCGTTGGTTAAGGGATGGTTCTGTGTTTGCAAATACTTGTAATGATTTACCTAGTTTTCACAGAAAACGTTATTACATAAGCATAATAGTTAACAATACTATATTTCTTATGCAATAGATATGATTCCCGTGGGTGTCAGTTCGTGTCCAAATAAATTCCAATTTAACACACCTGAACATGAAGAGGAATCACTGTAGCCTGATATTCACTGTATACCAAACGAATGATCTCAGAAGGACATTGCATTTGAGTCTAAACATGTCTAGGTTCTGATCATAATTGACCTGATCAACGATAAAGTCTCTATCTTTGTAACTGAAATGAATGTTATGACTTTAAAGACAAATCATATTTTAATTATTATAAAAAACTTAAATACATTACTTCCTTGGTATAACTAGACGCAGTGCATAGTTGGATGGATGAAGGAAAAACATATACATGAACACATTCATTTTGTTTACAATTACAGTTTTGTAAGTAATAACTATTAACAATTCTAGGAAAATAATTTTGCCATAAGACTCTTGAGTGTTGACACTGACACGGTAACACGATATCTTAGGGGAAGTTTCACATGCTTATGCTAAATTTAAGATATATGAAGTTCCAAAACACACTACCTGGGAACGAAATCGTGGCTCACATATGGGGTAATATATTGTCGCTGTGCTGATAGTGTTGTCGTGTACCTCTAGGGTCATAAACTGCAGTTCAACAATCCCTTAAGTTTAACGCGTATCACCATGTATTTATACTTTTTATAACATTCCAGTCCTAACATGCCTAGTCTAAACGGGGAAGTGTAATTCAACTCATGCATGTTACAGCGTTCACATTCCCGACGAAGGTAGAGTGGAAGTGCTGTTTGGCAGAACAGAAAGGTTAGATTTCAGTTGCTTTTAACCGTGTTTTGTCATCCGTCAAGAGATGCTATCCAAATTAGAGAACATTTAATGGACTGCAGGTGTTTAAGTATGATCTGTCCCGAGCCTAAGGCGAGAGCCGCAGTTTTCATTTACGAGTGAGTGAGTGAGGTTTTACGCCGCTTTTAGCAATATTCTAGCAATATCACGGAGGGGGACACCAGAAATGGGCTTCACACATTGTACCCATGTCGGGAATCGAACCCGGGTCTTGGGCGTAACGAGCTAACGCTTTAACCACTAGGCTACCCGACCGCCCCCTTTCATTTACGAGGGACAGGTAATCCGTAGTTTCAGGTTTCCAGTAGGTTATTCTAAAATTGACCAAAATGACTTGAAGAAGGTAAATGAAAGACAACGTATGAAATGTTAAGATTGAGGAGAAACATCTCTAAAGTTAGCCTTTTGTTAAGATGACGTCGATGACACTGGCACGCCAGATACATACTACCGAATGATAGATTCACCCTGATTCTGGTTCCTGATTTGTTAGCGTAATACAGGTGCTGCTGTGTGTCACCAAAGTGGTAGACGTCTATGACATGCATCGCCTCGGGCTTTCCTCAAACATGAAGCTGACACAACGTGTTGTAGATGAAATAGTGTTAAAGACTAACTTCACTCACTCAGATGACGTCATGAACCATGTATGTTGTATCATTTGTTTGTGAACAATGACACGATATGATTTCGTTTCTCTTATTATAATATACAGTTTTAACATGACTAGTCTAATGGGGAAGTGTAATTCACCTCATGCATGTTACAGGGTTCAAATTCCTGACGAAGGTAGAGTGGAAGTGCTGTTTGGCAGAACAGAAAGGTTAGATTTCAATTGCTTTTAACCGTGCCTAGTCTAAACATTGAGAATCGCTAAAAGTATCTTATATTGTTACAACTCGATCTATCCACCCTTATCTGATTTATTCATCACCAACAATGACCCTGTCCTGCTACAAAGTTCTTTTAAACCTAAAAACTGCTCATCTATTAATTTCGCTATCAAATATTGCTGAGTGGACTAAACACATCATCGTACCATCATATTGCTGATAAAATCTCAAGTCTTGTAATGATAAGATAGATTTCTCTCCTGTTATACTTACATCGCTGTTATACAAGGTGAGTGAGTTAAGATTTAAAGTCACATCGGCAACATTTCAGCCATATAGTGACTACTGTAATACAAGGACTGTTCTGAAGCGTAGTTCGTTCAAATGTTGTAGTTTTTCTCGCTTCACATATACTTTTATGTCTGACGATATGTATCATCATTCTCGTGTACTCGCCACCGTTGCATTTCTGACAGTTTTGATGTGTAGGTTCTCTTGCAAATGCTAAGTTTACCTTTAGACGGACACTTAGACAGACGTGTGTGTGTGCGTGCGTGTGTGTGTGCGTGCGTGCGTGCGTGTGTGTGTTTGCGTGTGCGTGTGCGTGTGGCTGCTTGTACTAGTCCGGACTAAAGCCGATGTTATAGTGCTAGCCCATTGAGATACCATGCCGCAGTTTAACATTAATACCCCTCTCATACACATTATACTGACTCCGAGCCGACCAGTGCTTGTTTAGCCACTTATTTTAATGCCGAGCGCCAGGCATTGTATCACCAAGTACCATCTTTAAACGTATTTTGGTGTGACGCGGACGGGGATCGAACTCCGACCTTCCGCTCTCCGAGCAGACGTTCTACCACACGACAACGGATGCGGTTTATCAAAAATAGAACACCTACACTTAACTCACATATAACATAACATGTGCCCCTTATCTAGCAAACTGCCATCTCATATCTGGCTGTGATGATCAGACTGAATACGTTTGACACAGTGAAACATCGAAAAGCTCAGTTTGTGGTAAGGTGGTTTAAATTGGGGTCAGAAGAGTCGAAAATACATTCGGCATTACTAAATTTCATTTGAACTTTAATCACTCAAGGCTATACGGCATAGCATTATGAGGTAGTTATCAGAGATCTATATTCAAGTACATGTCGGCAGATTAAACTTATTGATTATTTGACAGCAACATCTAGAGATTTTTTTAATATAATGGTTTTTAGACTTTTAAATAGATTTATTATATTGAACATTGAAGGCCTCTTTAGATAATATAATGGCAATAATTTCCTCCTTATATCTACAAAGTATTCGCAAACAACTTTTGGCTGACCTGACAAAATCACAAACAATCGCAAACACCCGCAATCGTAATTGATGAGTGACGTAATATAGGTTGTGTCTATGAATTTCAGTATTTAGTTATTTACACCAGAATACCTTAATTATAACAATAAAAGACAATGCAGTCATTACCCCAAGGGGCCTGTGGAGGTCCGGGGTAGAATAGGCCTTCAGCAACCCATGCTTGCTGTAAAAGGCGCCCATGCTTGTGTAAGAGGCGACTAGCGGGATCGGGTGGTCAGGCTCGCTGACTTGGTTGATTCATGCCATCGTATCCCAATTGCGTGGATAGATGCGCATGATGTCAATCACCGGATTGTCTGGTCCAGACTCGATTATTTACAGGCTGCCGTCATATAGCTGGAATATTGCTGAGTGCGGCGTTAAACAACAAACAAAAAGACAAACATACCCCAAGGATCTGCCCGGAAAGGGTAACGTTTACGGTTAACATCACTATATCATGACATAGTGTCTACAGGCGCGGTAGTTGTGACGTCATGGCAGAGTAGAGTAGTCGCACATGACAAGGTGTGTTATGTTAAAGGATTGACAATATAGTCACTTAGTAGCGCTACCTATACTAGTCCGTCTGATAACACCAGAGTAGGAAAGTCGATAGGGGGTAACACACCTGACGATTTTGAGTTCAACGATATCGCCTCTGCATGATCTTTGACTGTAATCTATTACAATGAATACGGTTTATTTATACAGATAACAAGATTGATAGATTTGGCATTTTACACGTAGTAAGTCCTTAATGTTTTTCGGAATATCAATTTTCTTTTTAACAAACCATGTTATTCAAAACATACCTGCTCACGTACGTTTTGTTATGAGGCCGGAGTGCAAATATTCATCTAAATAATGTAATAGCAAATGAACAAGTCACAGAACTGTGCATGATTATGTTCGATTATGGTTGTTCGGTAGCTGTCAAATATGTCTCCATTTAGGTCGACTGCAAGTGATCACTCTCATCATAACCTAACCAGTAATATAACTAGTCAGAACGTACTTATCGTGGAAAGGTGGGACACACGTCTAAGTAGTATCGGATATACGGTTGCTATAGTCACGCAGTTGTCCTCTGAGCCTAGTTACATCGTAGTACATTACCGGCATTGCTGATCTAGCTACATGTTAAAATCATGCAGGAATACGGAAACTTTCACAATGATTAACGGGGAAAAATGTATACAGCTTATTGCTGTTTTGATAAATAACTACATATCCGTTAAAATTGTCATTGTTAACCACGCGAAGCATTAGAAAATTTGTAATCATTTAACATGCACAGGAACAGAAACAGACCCGATACGTGCTAACAAATTGATACGAAGAGAATAGTATATTTTAGCATGGTATTTTCATTAGTATTATTTTGTTCTTTATAAAAAATATCTTCAGCTGAATGTGGGGTTCCAATGCAGATACAATCTAATGGTTGACGACAATACGTGATCAATGTACATATGCATGTTTGGTTTGGTTTGTTCTGGTTAATTTACATGCCACGGGAGTACTGCTGTGCGGTGTCAGGCAACGAACACTTACTTTTGTCATGCAAATAGTGCGAGTGGTGGTTGCTACCAGGAGGGCAGGCCATGGTTTAGCTTTTCGCCTGGTATCATCAGTGACTCCTTTGCTTGTAATCTGCAGGAGACACGGGTGTGGAATCCCACGTGCACAAATGCATGGTGCGTGAGTGTGAAGAGGTTCTTTGAGGTGGACACGTTTGACGCGAGAAGAAGGTAGGGTATTATTGTCTCCGACATTTTGCCTTATCCGCCTAGTGGAATCTGTGGAAACTTGAAAATGTACAAGCCTTTGCAATCATCCCTTGCCAAATGAATAACTTAGAAGGGGGCAGTACAGTGGTTTCTTACACCATCCCAATCAGATGCTGGAGTCAATTAGCTGACTTACACAACTGTGTGTGATGAAAGACTTTGCAAGCGTCACAAAGGCCACAGAAAGTAGACTTCGAGGATATTGCTAGAATAATCCCAGAACTCTGATAGGTTGGTGAACATTCTTTATTCAGGTGCCTCCGTCACAAAGAACATTCGACCATTATATAATTACAGAAAGAAAGAAATTTGTTGAAACTCCTCGAACTGTGATAGTAGGATGAAAATCATGCACGAATTTATCATGGTGTCTAACAATCTGGCAGATTACTTTCGATCCAGTCTAGCTTGCATAAATAATATCCGTGCCATCTGACACGTCTGAGCACATACATATAGAAACCTTAGTGCGGACACCATGCGTCGACGATTGACGAGCAGACACCTCCACTGTCACAGGCCACACCGAGGACCCATTCTGACACCGCGTCATCGCCGGGACCGTCTTCAGTGGGCAACACAGCACCAGCATTGGCGCCACCAGTAGAGAATCCGGATTATGATTTCTAGGATATCATACGATTCTTGACATTTAGCATTTGCTTGGTCTGAGGTATATATCTGTTCGAACATAAATAATGTATTTTATACTGAACCGCAAAAGAAACGTCACCCCAAGTAACATTGCATGAACTGTTGTCATTTAAATATCGAAGTTTCTAAAATTTAACATTAGCTTGTCCGGAAAAAGGAATTTTGATGATAGAAAAAACAAAGCTTATGACATAAAACCGATCGCCCAAACGCGTCACGGCAACGGCCATGTTAACCCGATGCACGTGAATTCCGTGCAAATTGAAATGCACATGCGTTCCCCAATTTCTTGCCCTTTTAAAATCCACCCTGATCGGATAACATTCATTCGTTTGTGAATTGCTACCACATGCCAAGATTGACAAGAAATCAGCGACACCAAGCCCTTGGACGATTGCAAGCTGAACAAACCACCCGGCAAGTAGCCAATGCATTTCAAGTCGACGTAAGGACCATATACATGCTCCAGCAACGGTACCAGACCACCAACACTACAGATGACCGACCACGTAGTGGAAGACCAAGGGTCCGTCTTCAGTGGGGAACACAGCACCAGCATTGGCGCCACCCGTAGTGGAGAAGAGTCCTCTACTCAGACGAGAGCCGTTACTGTATCTCAACAGCAGACAGAGAGAGAGAGAGAGAGAGAGAGAGAGAGAGAGAGAGAGAGAGAGAGAGGAGAGAGAGAGAGAGAGAGAGTCTGGTCTTGCACAAAGGGTCGGCCCTGTTGTCTTCCAGAACATCGGTCCAGGGAGAGGCAATGGTGTCAAAGCAGCTCGGTACATTGATCACGTCATGAGACCATATGCCATACCTCATTTGGAGTTTCAGCATGATAACGCCCATGCACACATTGCGAGAGCAACTACAGACTTACTCCAGGAGAATGGCATCAGAACCATGCAGAGGCCTGCCCTCAGTCCCGATTTAAATCCCATTGAGCACCAGTGGGACGAGATTCAAAGACGGCTGAATGACGTCCGACCAGGGCCGACAACTGCATCTGAACTGCGTCAGGCGTTCCTCAGAGTGTGGGCTCAAGTGCCGATGGACTGCATCAACCGCCTCATCCATTCCATGTATCGACGTTGCATGGCAGTCATCAATGCACATGGCGGACACACGGGTTACTGACTTGTGTTACTATTTTCTCAGAGACAAGTATTGTGTTTCACTTTAAGAACATTTGACACTTTAATTTTCAACCTTGATGATCAGTTTTGCCAAGTTTCATCTTTTTAATATGCCTCAAAGTATGTTAACAGTGTTTGGACAAATAAGGTCTCATATATCTATCCATGGTGACGTTTCTTTTGCGGTACAGTATATAATATTCACATGGCAGTGAGTGAGGAGTGACATTGGAGTCTGCAACTTACGCTGAAAATAGTTGTTTGGCAACCTTGAAATTAGTATTTACATTTGCTGACAATCAGACATTTGACTAAGCTATGCTATAAAAAAGGCTACACGATACAGTATATTTTAAGCTTATATAATTGTGTTTGTGCATCAGAACATAATTATACCCCCGTTTACGAAGTAAATCAGGGGTTATATAGCGTTCCGTCTGTCCGTCCTTCGGTCCGAGCTTTTGTACGGCCCATAACTTTTTAATAATGCACCATAGCTTCACCAAACTTGCTACACACATTTACCACAATGAGTACTTGTGCCTTTTGCTAGTTTGAAGATTCTGAATTTTTCAATGTTTGCCGTTTCTATGGAAACATTAGAAACTTAAACGTTTAGGGTGGGTGTTTTGTACGGCCTATATCTTTTTAACTATGCACCCTAGCTTCACCAAACGTGCTACACGCATTAACCACAATGAGTACTTGTGCCTTTTGCTAGTTTGAAGATTCTGAATTTTTCAATTTTTGCCGTTTCCATGGAAACATTAGAAACTTAAACATTTAGGTCGGGTGTTTTGTACGGCCTATATCTTTTTAACCATGCACCCTAGCTTCACCAAACGTGCTACACACATTTACCACAATGAGTACTTGTGCCTTTTGCTAGTTTGAAGATTCTGAATTTTTCAATTTTTGCCGTTTCCATGGAAATATTAGAAACTTAAACTTTTAGGGTGGGTGTTTTGTACGGCCCATATCTTTTTAACAATGCACCCTAGCTTCACCAAACGTGCTACACCCATTTACCACAATGAGTACTTGTGCCTTTTGCTAGTTTGAAGATTTTTAATTTTTTAATTTTTGCCGTTTCCATGGACACATTAAGAAACATCAAGAATGTATGTTGTGCTAAGCATTGATTATCCCACTAGATTGAAATATATTTGCAAAAACATGTGTTCACTTCAAACATATTGCATCCTCATGGGGTTACAAAGGAAAGGGCAGTTCCTCTGACTTAAAGCAACAGGTATATTTCATTTATTTACAAACTATTTACTATTTGTTGTTGACCAGCGGGGATAACGGGGTCATGTGACCTTTGCCCACTTCTTTCTTGTTCTCAGCTATCTCTTAAACTAACATCGTGTATAGGGACGTCTTCAGATTGTAAGTAGGTGATGTCTCAAAACTACTGAACCACATCTACAGCTGGTTTAAGGGATGCTTAGCTGAGAAAAATGGAACTGTTTTATATATCCCTGTGCATATGTACAACATTTAGCATCAATGCACTCACATACTACGAAAGAGGTTCAGGCATACAAGGAGACAAATATCGTTCATAAATGTCAACTGCTCTTGATTCTTTCTCACTATCGTTTCGAGGTCCATCGATGTCAGGTTCAACATCTGTGTCCCTTTCATTTTCGTCAGATGCGTTATGTATACCTTCACACGGGTGTACAGGGGATTGGGAAGCATCAGGGGACGCAGCCGTGTTTCTGTGCATGTCACTATAGTTTATGTCCCAGTACCGATGCAGCGGTTCATATCGTGTATCCATATGACGCATTTCCTCAACAGCCACAGCGTGTTCTGGGTCGTTTCCGTTGGACAATATTCTCCTAGAAACAAATATAAGTCTGAGACATACGAAATGGGTGTAATGTAGAATTATCAAGTCAATTGGAAACTCTTTCACAAGGAGCTGCGAAAATACTTTCTGGGCTCAAAACACAAACATCTTTATTATGAAACAGAAGGGTTAACGTTAAAGGAACGAAGGAGGAAGTGTAAGCTATGTATGTTCTACAAAATACAAAGTAATATTACCCCAGCTAATCTTAAAGACATTATAACTACCACTGCAAGTTCAAATGAATCATATCATTTAAGAAATTCAGACAATCTTGTGGGTCTCACTACTAGACTAAAGTACTCAACGTGTTCTTTTATTCCATCAACTGTAAGGTCATGGAACACCATTCCTGTAGCAGGTAGAAATTGTACATTTATATCCCAGTTCAAGTCATACATAGGCAAAGAGCAATGTGTTGCACCTTCATATTTGTCCCATGATGTGAGAAAGTTGGAATATTGATCATACTCGATAAGGATACATGTAAAGCCAGTTAACTTATTATTTTCTACACAACAGAGATAAAATATGATCCAGTGTGTCAATGTGGTAATCCATGTGGAAACTCATATCATTATGTATTTGAGTGTCAATTGTAAAGCCACTAAAGAAAATCTGTGTTACTTAAAATTCTGATCATATAATTTTAGTGAAATAAATCATGCATTAGATTTAAGTTTGAAGATAGACGGAAATGAGTGTTTGTCCACTATCGTTAATCAACATATATCTGATGCAGTGCAAAGATATTTAGGTAACTCATAAATGTACATACTTGTCTTTCTTTTGTACATTCCTATTGTATCTAAACACGAATCTTCTTTTTTGTTTCCCTTACGTTATCCCACAACTGTAAAGAACGATACATGTATCGATTGGCTGTTTTCTCTCCTAAGTATAAGCATACCTACCGTGGACAAAACTGTGGTGCTTTACGCAGAAGAAGCAACAGCAATAGGATAACAACAATCAGTAGCAGAACAGCCAGGATGATTCCCACGTCCAATATGTAGTTAGGTTCAACAGACACTGAATACAAAAGAAGTACTTATGAATAATACAGTGGATCATGTTTCCACACCTACTTTGGGACATACAATCCTCCATTGCCGGGGCAAAATATATTTTGTTTACACATATGCCTGCATTCAAGATGAATGTCAACACATATAATTAATCACATCTTCCATTATGTTCAAAGAAAAATTATTTACTAGCTCCTCACATGCATTCTCAAGGTCTTTTTTACCACCTTGTGAACACGCTTCGTTTCGACTATTCGAGTACAGGTACAAAGGCTATTATTATACTGAAGAACAGAAACATATCTAGGCATTTTCTGTTGTTTGTTAGATAATGGTTATAACCGAACTGTACACATAATTCAGTTATACTCGTAATGTCGAACTTGGATATGCGGAACTCTCGATTGTCTCGAACTCATTTGGAAGTCCCAAGTATCCACGTTAAGCATAAAATTCCCCTGATGTCTCAAATCCTGGATAACTCGAACTTCCGTCCAGGTCCCATCGAGTTCGACGAGGTTCGACTGTACATGTAAGGCGATTTGATTGGTGTCCGTGTTGTCCTGTAATTGGTTTATTAGAGTCTTGACATGAAAATGTTATCACTATTACATAATTACAAACCGTCCAGAGTTTAGGAATGTATCAGCGTCTCTTTTTACCAAACATCTTTGTAACATCCGTCATAGTTACATGTATCAAATACCTGGCAGGCTGAATAAAACAAGCATTAAATAATCATATCCCAGTCAATCAGTCCCCAAGAAAAGCCTAAAAAACTGATTAATGTGCTGCTGGCTGAATAGTACATGCTGTCATCTCTGTAAGGTAGTGTCACTGGAAACAGGGGTCATCATCAAACCCTACCCGTATTTTAGTGAATGGCTAGACTGATAACTGTACAAAGTTTTATCAAGAAATATTGAACAGTCTCTGAGTTATTCGCCGAATATAAACCTACCTACCCTCATTTAAGTCGAAATACGATTTGCTGTTATGGAAATCGGAACAAACACAGTTCTCAATATCGAAGGCTTCACAAACAAACACAGTTCTAAATACATCACATCATCGAGAGACTTATATATTATATATTTCAATAATAATTATTACAACTACATGACATCATCGAGAGACTTATAGAGTATGTATTTCAATAATAATTATTACAACTACAAGCAACCCCATGCTTACCATAAGAGGCGACTATCAGGATCGGGTAGTCAGACTCGCTGACTTGGTTGATTCAAGTCATCGATCCCAATTGCGTGGATCGATGCTCATGATATCAACCACTGGATTGTCTAGTCTAGACTCGATTATTTACAGACCGCCGTCATATAGCTGGTATATTGCTGAGTGCGGCGTTAAACAACAAACAAACCAACAGACCAACCATTACAACTACATGTAGGATATACGTTTGCATAACATGTCCCTTTTCACAGCAATATCTAATTGCCATTACGAGATTAAATATGGGAACTGTCTCATACTTACCTTTTGTATCAAGATCTGATTCTGTTGTCGAGGAAGTTATTGCATCACTGCACCACTTGGATGTCTGGCATATGTCAGACGTAGAACAGTTCTCCTTGCACAGTTTGTCACAGTCATTGTCATAGATGGAATTACATCCAACCACACACAATCCCGTCTGTTGTTCGCACACACTCGTCACACATGATCCACAGTGTAAGCTACAGTTCCAACCGTAGTATCCCTTCTTGCATCCATCAGCGCAGTGTCCGCTGTGGGTGTCGCACGTTCCATGACATCCTGGGTGACAATGGATGCACCCCGGGCCATAATAGCCCAGTACACAGCCATGTTTACACTCACCCTTCTGGTCACATTCACGGTGATAACATCCACTGTTGCATGCTTCATTACATTTTTCACCGTACCAGCCGCGTTTACATCCATATTTACATTCCCCCGACGTTTTGTCACATTGTATGGGAGGACTACTCGTAGAATTGGAATACACATCACAATTTATACTACATGTGTCACCACAGAGTTGCCCATAATACCCTGTTAAACATGTAGTACATTGTGCCGTTGTACAATGTCCTGAACAGTTGTTACACACATGCTCACACTTTCCTCCAGTGTAACCGGCCGCACACCTTTGGCATTCTCCTGTCGTGTAGTTACAGAGTTCACATTGGTTAGAACATGATTTACACTGGGAACCAAAGTAAGAATCGACACAGTTTCCCCAGCAGCTGTCATTTTGCACGCAATAAGATCCAACGCATCTAGATGCACATCTCTTACATCCAGGTGAAGAAGTTATACAGGGTACCCTACAGCTTCGACCAAACAACCCTAACTGACATCCATGAGAGCACTTACTGACACCACTTTGTGTGTTTAACGTACACGTACTGTTTAAGCATCCTTGGCTACATCTGTGGTTACAGTGTGAGCCATAATATCCATCAAAACACTCACTTTGGCACTTGCCATCTGAGCCACATCGTGAACATTTCTGGCCTTCTGTGCAAGTCGAATCTGGAAGAGAGGGAAAGTAGCCGTAGAACAAGATTATGTTTTTAATCTGCTTGGTTTTTTGATTTATCAAGATTATCAAAAATATATTAGTTTGACAGATATCGTTTCTCTCAATTCACGCTGACGGCAGTCAACATATGGAAAGATAATATGGTATTAATAATAATTGCTCGTTTGCATACTTCATATGATACTTAGTAATTGTAACATTACCTGACGGCATGCATACATGTGCCGACGGAAGACACAGACACACGCCAAGTATAAAGATAAACCCGTGCATCATCACAGATCCCAAGCTGCCAGAATAAAACAAATGCAAATTAATAGTGGTAGTTCGCCGAGGACTGTCGCTGTGGCTGTGACTGTGGCAAGCGACATCAGTGCATATGAGGAAATAAGGAGAGGTGAAACATCAGCGCAGTAGCGGAATAGGAAAGCAACTTTGCCTGTGAAGGAAATATTTCAATAAATAACGCTGGGTGTTTATGTCGCATTTGTCAACTACCAACTTAAGTAAATCTAAATCACACTTCCTTTCACAACCCGGCCACTACTCGATATTATACGTATGTTTCAATCATTTGCTGTCTCTGATTACCATTACAAATACACTTACAACATTCTCACTGCCACGTACCTCATGGTGTACGCGTATACATTGAATTAGTTAATGCTTATTTGTTGGTCATTCGTATGTATTATGTACGTAATTGATATTAATAGCGAAAGATCCCCACTCAGTTTGAACACTGTAAATACATTTGTAAGTTTACTTACGTATTAATTGGTGCGAAAATATATGTCAGAAAATATGTCAGAGTCTGTTATTTTAAATTTACATTTGGTCCCTATGCCTATTAATTATTTATACGGGGCATTTGTTGCATAACATCTTCGTACAGACAACCTGTCCCTTCGTTGTATCTAAGTCACCATGTAATTACGATTGAAATATCGCATTTTGAAGCTTTATGTATTAAGATCACAAAATATGGTTGGTATTTTACAGGTTTTACACAAAGCACGAGAAACACTGTTATATATTTACACATGGTAAGAATCGGCGTTCAATCTCACCACATAATCATGATTAAAAATACTACACGAAATATTTACAAATTTTCGAACATAATCAATTCACCAAAATAAATAATTATAAAAAGTTCCTAGATCTATCTGATGACAAACTAACAGAAGGTGACATCCATAAATTATCTTCCTTATTCAGATTTAGGTTCACAATAACAATGACACTGGCAATATAAGTGGCAGCAGACATACGTAACAGGCCCTACAACACTTTCAGAGCACTCACGGATGTCAGGAATTCTGGACACCGGGGTTGTTTTTGAAGCTGGCAGGAATTCGGTGTTTTCAGTTTGGTATCTTGTCCGAAATTGGCAAGAAGATCGTTAAAAACCTCGAATTTCGCTGGTGTTGCTCCTATATAGGTACAGCCATCTTTCTAGTAACTGACCCATCTCAAGTATGCCCCGTGTTTGTCAACAACCAACTGTGGTAAATCTCAATCACATTTCTTTTCACAATCCAGCCACTACTCAATATTGTACGTGTGTTTCAGTCATTTGGAATCCCTAACAACCACTGCAAATAAACTTACTACATTCTCATAATTCATAATGTACGTGTATAGATTGAATCTCTATGTGCTTATTTGTCATTCGCATGCATTATGTACGTAATCGATAGTAATAGCGAAAGGCCCCCACTCAGTTTGAACACTGTAAATACATTTGTAAGTTTACTTACGTATTAGTTGGTCCGAAAATATATGTCAGAAAATATTATCAGAGTCTGTTATTTTAAATTTACATTTGGTCCCTATGCCTATTAATTATTTATACGGGGCATTTGTTGCATAACATCTTCGTACAGACAACCTGTCCCTTTTTTGTTTCCAAGTCTTCAAGTAATTACGATTAAAATATCGCATTTATTAAAAGACTTATCTACTGATATCACATTATGAAGTTCGTGAACAGTTTACAGGTTGTACACATAGCCCGAGAAACACTTTTACATATTTTGTATTACCAATGACATTAACGTTTTACTGGCGAAAGTCCATTCAGTTAATAAATAATAAATATGTATAATAAACACAGCACGGAAGACTAGTAAGTTGACAGGCTGTGTGGAACTACCTTGTTCAGACTGTTGGATATGTCATTGATGAAAATCAGAAAATATGTCGATGTATTTCGTGTATGTTGTGTGTAAAGTGCTTATCATTTAATCAATATGTATTACAAAAGCGAATCGCATGTTATGCAGTGTAAACCATTCAGGAATATACATATGCACGCCATTGATGTACTCATTATTCAGAAGATGGGAGTGAATTTGAACGTAATCTGTACACTTTAGAGATATTGATTCATATAAACCACAACAGGACAATTTAGGCGCTTCGTTATGTAATAAATTGATGTGAGGAATTGTTGTAAAATAAGGTTGATATCATTGTTAACTGACGTCAGATGTTTTTGGTGTATGGAATGGAGACTGATGAACAAAATAGGGAAGGTAATTATTTAAATCGCTTTGGGGTTTACGAATGGGTCCGAAAACAAGATACATAATCCTTTTTGCCTTTGGTTGTCATACATGGCCCTTAGCGCTGATAATGACTTAGCTTACAAAGAATTATCTTATCTAACAAACACAATGAGCTTAGTGTACTGAAGGTCATCAAAGCATGGGTCTAATTTATTTTGGCCGGGCATAGGACCGTCAAATGTGACGCATATCGTGGCTATAGTTTGGAATTTGTGTTCTCGGCAACTTTAAGTTCAACAATAACTTTATTTTTCGTATTATTGATTCTCGGTACGATACATTTCAAAAATCAAACATCCGTGTCTGCTTTGTTTCCCAAGGAAAGGAGTCCTTCAAATGCCAAGGTTCATGGATATTAACCCTATTAAAGACAATAAAACCGTTTTAGTCCACTTTGTCAAAACAAAAGAACATGTAGACATAATTTTGATGTGGCTGTGCAACATGGAATACATTCCATCAACGAAATTAATTTTTGTATACTTTGAAAAAATAACCTTTGAAGCAGGCAATTTATAGCTTTGATCTGTAACCGAATCAGGGTATTTATCATGAGAATCAAGATATGACAAGAGTAAGTGGAAGCAGTGTACCGATATTAGATCAAGTGTCGATGATGACTCTACCTAGGCTATAACATAACACAATACATCGCGTCATGGACAGGGTTGAATATTTCACTGTTCATTATTTGATGGAAATATTTCAATTGACATTGTCGCACAATTAACAACATGAGTCACAAGAGCCTAGGTGGCTTTCACGACACTGATGCACTGATGCTCACCTGTCTGCTTTGAGTCACATCAATATGTACAGAACTGCCGTCATATAGCTGGAATATTGCTTAGTCTTGCGTTAACAACAAATAAACTTGCAGAAACATATTGTTTCGAAACTGCACGAAACTTGAATATATATTGTAGAACACTTTGGGCCACGTACTATTAAATTAGATCATCTTAGTGATGGATTAACACTGTGTAAGTGGATTGGCATATATGATAACGTTTATATAAGAAAGACCTTCATTATAATCAGAAACAGTAATACTAAAAACATAAATTATCGTGTTCAATTGAGAGCTTCAAGAATACTGTTTTTAATATCTATGTTGTCACCTAATTTCAAAATATCCCAATTACTCCCACATTTTTTTCACTATTATGCATGAAACTGCTGTGGAAGTATTGTCTAAGGGTCTTTCTGCTTCACACTGATATATTTCTCAAATTTTGTCAAAAACTTACGTTTAGAGGCTTGGTTCTGAGCATTTTGTCACTAGGGTGGTACCGGGAGAGTGATTGTTGACAAACAAGCTGCCAGTGACGTCACATCCCGTAAAATATCATTATCATATATTTTTATGTAGCTTTTTGTATGTTTGATAAGTTGCGAAATATTAACGCTGCTACCGTAATTAATAGCAGTCATAGTATTTCTTTTATCCCCTGTCTTTCGATTAAAAGGATATCCACACTGTTCATTTCTGTATTGCGCTATGGCCATGTATATCGTTATGTTTTGCAGTATATTCTTATAATTCAGAGAGCGAAACCTTTTTGTCTGCCAGAACATATCAACTTGGCCTCTGCTCTGTAATATCCATATCCTTCTTGTATTCTATACAATTAATGCATGGTTGTATTAATCATAATTGTACGGGATATAGCTTACAAATGAACTTATCAAAAATATATAATCATCACTCTCGTCAATCTTATCAACCTTTCTAACTGTCTCTGCAATTCTCCGTGCGGGGACGACCGCTGGAAGGTTTGGGGTTAAATCCCCGGCCGCGTCATACCAAAAGACGTTAAAAATAATACTTGTTGTTACCCTGCCTGGCGCACGGCACAAAGGGGCTTAAACAAGGACTGGTCGGCTCGGAGTCAGTATACTGTGTTTGAGTGGGGTATTCATGTTAAACTGCGGCATGGTATCTCAGTGTGCTAGAAGTATGAAATCGGCATTAGTCCGGACTAGTACAAGCAGACAAACACACACACACACACACAAACACACACGCGCACGCAATGCGCCGTTTAACTCGATTTCACCTCAGCCCGTGCGGAGACTTTTATTACTGTATAAAATAATGTCAATTTTAGCAGTGCAGTTAACAGTGCAATTAAGAAAAAAGCAAACTAGTCCTATTATTGTAAAACGGAAGCTCCAACCTCAGCTGTACTGAAAATGTACACTCTGTTACATGTGGCAATTTACAAAACGCTAAAATATTGAAGTCATTTTATTATTATTTACATTTTGATAAGGAATTCCAAACATATATATGCTCTATTTCATCACCCTGTGACTACAAATGATAGGATTAAAAACAATGTGTTATATATATAAATATATATATATATATATATATACGTTTTTGCTTCTAATCCTGATTAGACATGATTAGACCCGTGGAGATCCGGGAAAGAATAGGTCTTCAGCAACCCATGCTTGCCGTAAAAGGGGACTATGCTTGTCGCGAGGGGACTAACGGGATCGGGTGGTCAGGCTCGCTGACTTGGTTGATGCATGTCATCGACCCCAAATGCGTGGATGGATGCGCCTGTTGACAATCACTGGATTGTTTGGTCCAGACTCGATTATTTACAGACCGCCGTCATGTAGCTGGAATATTGCTGAGTGTGGCGTTAAACAACAAACAAACTTATTTTCAACATCGTCGTTGAAATGTGTGGTACGATGTCGGCTGTTTCGTTGTAATGACACTTCACATGTTTCAGTTGAGTATTTTGAGATGAATTCAGTATCGATGTGGAATGAACATCTTAACTTGGACGGTTGGGCTTCATTCCATCTTCCAGTTCGGTAAGGTTTGAACAGAACCTACAAAACATCATCACATTTGCCATCCTTATTTCGAAAGTGTAAATATACCAACTAACCTAGATTACCAACTTAATATCAAGTATGTTGGATTTGGGTCGCGTAAATGCAGTACTTTACATTGCACGCCGATGTGATCTTCTAAAAATTGAGTTCTAAAACGTAAACGAATTATTTAGTATCTGTATTGCTGTATTTACCTTAAGTCTTTATTTCACTTAGGATCACCCGACTCTCTTACTGTTGCTGTTTTCTGCTGACATCCGTTTATCCTTCACAGTACCAGTGACCAGTGAAGTTGGAGGTGGACACTGTGGTAGTAACAAGTGGGGGCCTGCATGTGCCAGGAACTGTCCATCTAACTGTCGCCCTTTACACGACATAGTCCACTGCCAGGTCAATACAGGAGAGTGTCTGGAAGGTTGTAACGTAGGATATCATGGTAGCTACTGTCGCAGAGAGTGCAACTCCAATTGTATCAACAATACCTGCAACCAAGTAGATGGCGAGTGTTCCATTGGGTGCAAGAATGGAACATCGTGTATAGTGACATCACCACAAACAAACAAGTCTGATACAGATATCACGCAAACTCACTGCGGTAAGAGTTGCAAGGAGATTTTCAAGTAGATATAACTTCGAACCTTCCCAGCAACATAATACAGTTGCGTGTATTTATCAATGTCGACCGAGGTTATCCTGTGGATTAATGGTTCCGTTTGTTCTGAGTTTCAGATTTCTCTAGCTGCCTCGGTTACAGTGTTTCCTTAGTTGTAGTGAGTGTGCTTTTATGTGCACTGGCGGGATTGTTTGTATATGCCATATGGTAAGTAAACGCATTCAAACCTGGATATAGGCAATAATTTTAAACTTTGCAAACGTTAGCGAAAACTGTTTGTCACTGGCATACATTTGTCAGTATATGTAAAGGGTGCTAATGGTCCAATTAAAACAATATGATCAAGTCTTGGTGCAATGTAATCTGGTCTGTGCCAGTTAATGCTCTAATAATTCTTTATGGTAAGCAGTGTTTTATTGTTTATAATTCGTCACGAAATACATTTAGCTGGAATGCCATATGTTATATGAATATCAATTATTAAATAATATTCACAGTTGCAAACGCAGACGCAGGCACCAAATACGGAAAAGTAGGGGTCCTGGGGAGGAATCGGTATGTAGCATCACAACTGAGCGTTTTATCCTGGACATGTATCTTTCACTTAATAGATTTTGCCAGATATTGACGACGGTACGATCATTAATAGCCATATGGCTTATCTGTTTTTATTTGATTGACTGATATTAATTCACTTGATGAAAGATATATACAGAAAGGTTAGTTACAAATAATAAATTGTGTTGCACAATTCTTAATTCAAGCTCGCGACTTGAGCCAAAGTTCGTAAAACTAAATATTTGAACAGACATCAGTCACAAAGGAAACTTTTTTAAGTTCCAGAAATCTAAATGTTTCTCGACATTTACTCAAGACGCTGAACTTCTATTTTTATTTCTTACAGGTTGAGATGAACAGACTGGATACTGGAAACAGCTATTGATGCTTTCTGCACAAATATTGATGTGAGTGTCATTAGTTATAATTGAAATCATGGTTCACTCAAAAATTACACACATTATGAACATCTAATTTCATATACGTTGTCATCATACCTAAACCTCTCCGTATACACAAATATGCAAGTTTCTTGGTTTGTTTTGGATGTTGATAGACCATTGTCAAATATCTACTTTTACTACTCCCCCGTGAAAAGATCACCCTTTTTATTTACAGCTATACTAGACACGCGAACGGGACTATTTTGGGCATCAACTGGATATTCGAAAGGGGGTGTTAGAAGCACTATGCAACTGTACGCTGCAACGTCTACCCTACTCACTATAAACACTGGAATATTTCACAAAACACCAGCGACACATAGACACTTTAGACATGGCTGCATGCATATCGAACTGTATTGTTGACATATTTTACTTTTTGTCACCTGTGATTTATCGCATAACTCGTGAACAAATACGAAATATAGTATACATAGTTGAATTATAAAGGTTCAGAGATTCACTAATAGTATTATGCCCAAAGAGCATAACCACGTTCATTGCCGCGTCTACTAAGGACCTTGACCTTCGTCTTGTAAATTGGGAGTAGCGCCCCCCGGACAAAGTGGACAGTCGTTAGAAATTTCATACTTGTCGGGAGTAATGCTGGTTTCATAGTGCCCACTGAGATATGCCGCAGTTTAACATGGATTCCCCTCTCGGTTACTTACTCCAAGCCAACCAATCCTTGTGTTATCCCCTTTATGCCGAACATGGAACAAACAAGTACCAGCTTGTACCTCTTTTAATATGAAGGGCAGAAGATACATGCACTAGACCACGGAGGAGATCAATTTGAGTGTGCTGTTGGGACACGAGCATTTACATGCTGACAAACTAGCTCTGGTGTTTGTAGTGTCTGCTGAAGTGATGTGGATTTTCCGTCATCTTGGACGATCTCTAGTTGTGCCGTATGGCCAATATCATGACAAAACTCACGAACGGGACTATCACGTTTGAAAAGGAAACGTGTTTCACCACTAAACCAATTACGTTACGCCAACGATGCTGAGCCAATGATAATATAACCGACTCCACTGCAGTAATGTAAAATGAAGCCAACGTAGGGCCTTCATGCTCGGATTCCAGCAGCTCGTAAGCGGTTAAAGACCTGGGAGGTAAACTATGAATATATTTTGCACTGTACGTTGCATTGAGCCACCTGTTACGAAGATGGAGGACCAGGGTTCCATTCCACAAAGTTATGGTAGCACTACGGTGATCGAAACTGCCTCGCTTTAACATAGACTTACGACTGTCGTTGCGCTACGATCGATCGCTTTGTTGTCCCTGGATATCGCGATCCTGAGCTGCCGAAGTGATGTGGATTTTCCGTCATCTTGGACGATCTCTAGTTGTGCCATATGGCCAATATCATGACAAAACTCGGGGAATTGTGCTCTGGGCAACGTTAAAATACCTTGACACTGATACTTGTGAATCATCGCCTTCAAGTCTACTAATAGCGTTAATTTTTGAATTAATAAGTCTTCAATAAGAGTCAAAATACAACTGAGTTTGAAATTGATTCATAAACACATGCTTATATATAGTCTGAATCGAACATGGAAGCTGGAATGATTATGGAAGCGGTTTTCTCGCGTTTATTATTCAAGTGAATAACTTGGTTTGGTAACACGTGACAAATCCCACCTGTTGCTTCTGAAAACTGCATTACAGGTTCCCAGGAAAAGAAATAATGCTTATGTCAAAGCCCATCTCTATTAACTGTCTGATATAATTGAACCGTTGTAGCACTTCATCAGTCAACAAAGATCATGCAGACTTTATTTTCATTTAGCAGTGCAACATGGAAAACCTTCCAAATACGGAGTTAAACTTTGAATTTGCTTAAAAATGTATATATTCTTTCCCATTATCTATATCTAATGATAGTGTTTCTTTTCAGCCTTTCGGCAAGTATGGATGGATGCCGATTATTTTGTCACGTCGTATTGTGTAAGTATTGGTAACAATATGTGCATAGTAATTAATTGTAGGTTTCGTATGTGACACTACGATAGGACGCCATCTACACAATTACTGGATATGTTGTTAGCACATTTATGTGACAAAATGTGTGAAGTTGGATTGGTAAACAAGTAAAGATTTATGTTGATGATGGTCTAGAACTGAAGATAAACGTTCATGAACTCGTTATGATTAATAAATATGTGTAATCATGTCCGGCGCTGTAACCTACCTCAGAAACTGAGATGTCGAACTTGATACAAACCTAGGCGGAGACAGGGAGTCTCGGAAACTTAAAATCAGGGTTGTGTATGGTGTAAAACATTACAAATTGATGAAGTCACACGTTGATCTGCAGTAGTCGAAATCGATAAAAAACCTGAGCAGAGATAAACAGTAAAGGGTTCAAACAATAAAGACAATTGTCTTGAAGTTATTCATCACATTATCATATTTAGTATTTGAATCGAGATATGTTTGCAATGTCAAAAATCAAAATACAAAATAGCCTCGTTCCTTTACGCACCTAACCCAAGAATAATCGTAAATGGAAAATAATAGTACATGAGGAGTATGTTAGATATACTGGACAACAAAAGTTCCAGAGACATTGAATAAGATTTTTACCAAATCTGAAACAATTTCAGTTTGCAACAGATCAAAGACTCCTATAAGTGTTCAAATGGTTTAATTTACCATACTGACTACAGAAAATGCGTGATTTCATAAAAAAGCGAGCGGGCCAGGGGATGACATTCAAGTTGTTTTGTTGAAGAGAATCCTGAACAAGTCGAGCAATATAAGGCCGGGCGTTCTAATGTTGAAAGGTAATGCCTGGGCCATGACGACGCAAAAACGGTAGAACAACAGGGCCGACGATTTCTTCGCGGTAGCGCTGTCCATTGAGATTTTCCTCTACCACTATCAAACTGGTCCTCTGCCTTCCTGTAATCCCACCCCATACCATAACGCTGCCGTCCCCGAACCGATCTTTTTCCATGCCACAATGATTGACGTAACGTTCACCTCGACGTCAGTACACTCGAATCCGTCCATCGCTGTGGCTGAGGAGAAAACGAGACTCATCAGTGAATAAAACTTGTCCCCACTGCATGGCCGCCCAGAGTAGACGCTGTCTGCACCACTGTAGACGTGCTTGACGGTGGTTTCCTGTCAAAATGGGACGTCTGGTGGGTCTTCTGGCGACCAACCCTGTTTATCTGAGGCGGCGACGTACGGTTTGTGAAAATATTCGTCGAAGGCAAGGGATGCTTCTTGCAGTCACTGATGCTGGCTGGAATCGATTTCGTAGGTGTGTTGTTCGAATGTAGTTGTCTTGTCGATTATTGGTTACACGTGGCCTTCCACTCCGAGGATGGTCTCTGACCGCATTCGTCTGTTGCCAACGTTGCCATAAACACCAAATGGTGTTTCTGTGGACGTTAACTTGTCTTGCAACATCACGTTGACTCTATCCTGCTTCAAGAAAACTAATGGCTCGCAATCGCTCATTTTCGGACAGGCGTGGCATTTCGTAATGTTGAATAATTGCGTAATTTTGTTGTTTTTCTGAGTGGTTATTGTCAGTACAATGCTAAACAATGCATATGGAATCCCGTTAACGCACACGTTTTTATACTCATTCTTGGGTAGGGAAATGCATGAGGCTGGCATAAAAGTCAACTTTTGCATGGAATGCATGCTTTTCTGTTGGAGTTGCGTTTTTGTGACTTGATTCCATACATGTACTACAATATTGAAAACCAAAATCTACTTGTTTGAAAAATACACTTAAATATTGGTGTCACAGGAACTTTTGTTGTTGAGTATATTTGTTTGAAACATATATAACAACAAATACTTTGAGTTTATTTAAGATATGTCTTGTTCATTGTGCATATATATTCAAAGTGTATCACCTATGCACCTTTGTTACAAATAAAATGCATTAAAAGAAGCTTGCGGTCAGGAAACTATAAACTATTAATACTCAGCTAAAATCCTTATCTCAAAATAGTATATACCCGTCAAAACAGTCATCAGAGCTTACCTGTAATGTGCATTGATATAATCAACCCGTACCGTTGACTAGTATGTTTATAAATTGTTTCACGATAATGTTTTTGCTTTCAGTGACAGTGGTTGTTGGTATACAGGCTCAACAATGCCCAGTCGGTTTCTATGGTAGCAGTTGCCAACATACATGTCCAAGGAACTGCAAAAGCCAGCTGTGCAACATTGACAAATTTGGTCGAACTGTTTGTACCCACGGATGTGTGGATGGATACAGAGGCACCTCGTGCGGAATCCCCTGTCCAGTGAATTGTCAGGTGTGTGAACGTCTCAACGGCAGCTGTGTTAACTGTAAGGATACCTTTCATGGTACAAACTGTACTCTCACATGTGAAGAGTTGTGCAAGGGATTCCGGTGTGACACAGACCAGACATGCTCTAAAACGACGTGTCTTGACGGGCGGTATGGACAGAACTGCAGTAACAAGTGCTACCCCCGGTACCTGACATGTGCCCGATCTACTGGAGGCTGCACTGCCTGCAGAGATGGTTACTATGGACAGTTCTGTGAACTGGATTGTCCTCGGTGTGGCTTTACAGACGTAAGTGTGGATCAGACATGTAAAGATGGATGCAACACGATTTTATGTTCAGACATCACAGGCGGCGACTGTGGAAAGAGTAAGTTACTCAACGCTAATATTGTACAGTGCAACTATTGTACAGGCACATCAAGCAGTATATGTACCTCTCTTGTACTTAAAGTGAAGATGCATAATGCCAACGTTGTGTATTTTGAATGCAGTGATCAAGATTAAGCTTTGTAATGTGTCCTCTTTAAAAAAGCAACACCTTGACAGAAGTTTTACTGCCGTTATTTACCCGTGATTCATATCAAATTAATCAATGGTATAACTCACGTGGTCTTGAAATTCAGTTCGTGGCCAAGTAGGTGTATAGTAAAAGATGTGTTAAAGAACATGTACTTTAATAGTTCTAAAAACATAAGAATAAAGATGCCCTGTTGCTTACATGATAAGAAACACTGGTCTTGCCGAATGCAGACAAATGATGTTTATTTTATGAATGGAAGGAAACAAAATGAACTCTATGAAACAGCATTAATATATGTTCCCTTCGCATTGTCGGAGTGATCGTAACTGACGTATTTGCAGCAGCTCATCATTCCATGTCAAAGTTACATTAATGGAATACATTGTAAATATACTTTTATAATCGTATAACAATTAAAACAGAACGAATGTATATTCTGTCACCATCACGCTGTGAGGAATAGGTCATAATAACATAATCATATTCTTTAACATTTTACGTCGTAAGTCACTTGTTGTCACAGACCAAATCACGTCACACTAACCTTTGCGATTGAATATATGTTTGACATAACCATAAATGTAGTTTTTGCAAGTCATCGTTTGCGATCAACCAATCAGCGATCGCGACATTATTATCAACCTTGCTATTTCTATGACAAACAAAAGTCAATTAACAAATACATGACTTAAAGTATCAAATTTATGATATTACCTTATTGACACCTGAGGTTAATTTCAAGGCGTCTCTCCAGCAGTTTTTTGATCGTAGGCTCTGTAAATAAAGGTCCGATTCACACGCGTTTATGCTTACATTAATACAAAGAATATTGAATGGACTCTTGAATAAAGTTAGTGAACTTCAATAAACACGTAAATCCAGAAATACATTGAAAACGATTTATAACCTGATACAGTTCTTCAGTGCGGATCATGGAATTTGCTCACGTGAGGCACTTTCTTCATCAGCTGATGAACGTCAACAAATACAACTTCAATCCTTATATTGACAGATACATAAATCATTACAAAACTATCCATTAAACATCAAACTTTAATTATTTAAAGCGAACTTTTTCAACGCGGAGAGTCGTGACGTCATCCGTCCCAAACATTGATATTAACGTTCTGTGAACTTTGGCTGTGTATTTGAGTCATATTACGGCTGCTGATGACGGGGATTACCGCAGGAGGCTCATAGCCGAATGCTATGAATACACAATGACATTTAGAAAGCGGTCAAATGTAACAAATGTTATATTTGTTAGATCGCTGACTTTGTGTGCTTAAAGGGCAAGTTCACACGAAAATAAACCTATTTTTCTTGTACTTTTTCATCATGAAAAGTATTTACCTAGTAGTTTTAGAGGCAAAACAATTAAAATATCACACGTATCAAATTTATTTTATTTATAAAATCGGTTCATATTTTTCACATTTACAGAGAGTTTATTTCCATAATAAACACACCATGGATTATGCCCCTTGCAATATGACGTCATTTGTGCCAATTGATAAAGGAATGACGTCATAAGACTTTATTAGACGCGTTTCACGTGGTGTATGTAGGTGTTTGGTTCTATCTTCTCAAATGCGCAGCGTAGCTATTGTTTTGTTCGGTGCCGAGCTGTCCAAGACACAACGCTAAGCACAATTACTCTAAAATTATTTCGTTTTCCAAAATCGCGACTGAAAAGACATCAATACACTGATAACATACTGTAAGATTTGCAATTATGGTTGGAAGGGTCCGTTGTATGAATTGCGCTTATTCGTTTATTTGTGTTGCGCATATTCGCTCTTGCTGAGTTGCTGTCGTCTTCCGTGAGAGTTTAGATACCTGCTGGTTCTGAAACCACAGGACCATATGTAACTAATAATAACAATAAAAAAAACTCGCCAAAAAATTATAGACGAGGCCGAAGGCCGTTTTTGTTACTATTATTAGTTACATATGGTCCTGTGCTGAAACTGATCGGAAGCGGATGGTATACGATCCTTATATGGAAACGGGCTAAAGGGACAGCACTCTCATCAAGACACTGACTGGGATGTTTTTGTAAACAAACGCCGTAAAGTTGAAGTAACTCGATCAGGTAAGTATCTACAGCAGTATCTAAGAAATTATTTTAGCAGGGGTAGGGTGATATTTGTACATAGTTTCACTTGATAATCATGAATATCCGCGATGTTGTCTCGTTCACGTGTTCACTTCCTGCATGGTTATGTCGATACTCCTGATCAGCTGATCGTTGCAATATGCAGCAAACTCCTGTTGATGGAGTAAGTTGTGTTACGTAATGTTTTAGTTTTACAGCCATTCCCGTCTGGAATTAACACAAATCATCTCATTTGGGTAATTAATAAACTTTATAATAACACAGGAAAACAAATTAAAATTATATAAACTCATTGAAAGTCTCTGTGTGTGTGTTTGTGTGTGTACATAATCTTTAAATAATCATGAACAATAATTTTGATTCAGACTGTCGAAGCAAAAATCCGCAAAAATACATTGTTGCAACATGTTTATTTTTTTATATTTAGGCTTTATATATTTTTTATTTAAAAAGATATCTGGTTTTGCTGGTTTGTAGCTGACAAAATATCCAGTCACTATCCAAAATCATCGCCCACCTACCACCCAAAATATTCAAATTTCATGTTTAATGCAATTTACACACATATACAAATTATAGCACATTGATACATGAAAAAAATCAAATTACCATTTTATATTTTGTGATAGTGAGATATAGATGACAAAAGTGTTAATGTTTCTATGCTGTATCTTTCAAATATGAAGTTTCGAGCCAAGTCATGCCAGACACTGATGCCCAGAAAGTACAGGTCCCCAGTCCATCATGGTGTAAAGTCGCTGTCCAATGTACACCAGAAGCATGGCACACAATGCTTCACTGTATGAGGTACAAAATAATATTTTGACAATGAATAATCACACAATGTAAATACTATATGCAAATAATTTCTATATTGAACTATTTTGTGTATCTATTATATTCTCTATTGTTGTCTTTTGTTGTAAAAGTGTAGTGTGGATGACAAATGAAAGTTTACTGTGAATGACATATAAAAGTTTAGATCTGATACAATTTGTACACAGTTAACTGATCATATTTGTATTCAGGCACCCAGTGACATGCCTGTCACTGCTGAAAATTATTACCACCTTCTTTTACAATTATTTAGTCAGTGTACATATTATTTTGACAAATTTATGTTAAAATTATTTTTCTATTTTTCAGGTCCCACAATGATATGGAAGAGTATAAATGCGACAAAACCCTTTCCATATTCATATGAAATCTCTGTAGAAAACAGTTGATGGTACAATTCTGACTAAATCATGAGCATGTGTTAATGAATCGCTATCAAATAGTGATAATACCAGGTTCGCGAAAGGTGAGAGTATCCTGCCCCACCGGTGTCACAAGAAATCCCTGGTGTTGAGATCCATTTTCATTGTGTGCAAATTGTGTTTATTTTCATGCAGAGTTATAAGTCATAAAATATTAGAGTGTCTTGTGAGGTACAGTGCTTCAGACAACAAACGAGCTGTACTTTTGAAATAGTCAACCAGTGCACTAACAAGTTGCCACTGAGCATTTAGCCAGTGCTTGTGATATTTTCTTCAGTCTTTTCCCCAGCCTTTGCCCTTGCCCAAAACTACCTCATCCAGCATCAGCCACCCTGTATTACAGAAACTTATCAAATGAAACAGCAAAGGCTGATTGTTGTCAGAGACCATAAAACAAGATTTCAATGAAAAAAGTTTATTTTAATGAGCATAGAGAAAAACATTACATACATCAGATGCAAATCTTTCACAAATCACCTCGACAACACAAGATGTAATAACTTTTCTCTGATTCTTCAACTACTTCTGCAAATCCCCAAAGTGAACCTCTTGTTTATGAGGTGTAGATAGATTCTGAAATGAAAAAGTGTCTTTTATTAGTCAAGCTATACACATTACAAAAAATATCATACCATTTACATATATATTTTTTGTCATTTAATCTGGAGGGATGCCTAAAAAGAAGTAACTTGTATTGATGATATATGCATAATTTTTATTACATGTTAATAATTCAATAAATACCAAAACAGTTTATAGTTCTATCATGTTGACATGATGTGTTTATTACTATAGGTTTGAATACCTCTTGAAATATTGTGGGCATGTTTCAATATCACTGATGTAATTTAATAACTTTACAAGTTACATATGTTTTCACAACTTGCTGGCAAAAATAAACATTTATGGTACTGGAGATTTATTTTACTTGTCAGATTTGTTTGTTGTGCATGATAGATCTTAAAATGCATAATAAAATAAATTGATGAAAGTAAATAATATTATTTGTTTTTCTAAACTTTATTTCAAGTGTTAATATAAAGAAGGGTGGTGGGGTAGCCTTGTGGTGAAAGCGTTCAATCGTCACCCTGAAGACCCAAGTTCGATTCCCCACATGGGCACAACATGTAAAGCCCATTTCTGGTGTCCCCCAGTTGTGATATTGCTGGAATATTGATAAAAGCAGCGTAAAACCCTACTCACTCACTCATTTAAAAAAATGATTGCATATTTCAGTTGCATTTTAGGGGGTGATTGTTACAGACATTTTGCTCAAAAGGTCAGGTCGGGAGGTCCAAATTTCCAATTTCAAATATTTTTCACTAATATTCAACAAGTTTTTTACTTATAGTTTCTTAGATAATTTATATGTATTGATTGTGACAGTAAATGAGCTTCTTGTAAACATTTTACATATATCTGGTCCACTCAGTTAAACAACCCACTGTTTTTAATAATTAATTATATATTAGATATTTCTTCTTTTTTATAGTTTCTAAACATTTAAAAAAAAATCTGGCCTCATAATAGATGATAAATAGTTTCCCTGCAAAGTTGCAATGCATTTTCTATGAATGGTTTTCAGAACATACCAATAACCAATTATCTATTAAATAGAATAAGATACTGTAGGACTACTGCAGTAACTGGTTTCAAACACAAAACACATCAATGGAGTGATCTATCTTTTCACTTTCAAACGGGGACGGTGTGAAGTGTGAAGTACGACATCCAGTTACTTATCAATAAATATGGCAAGTATTTTGAACTCGGATGGGAACAAATCAAAGAGAATCTTTATTTCCCCCAGTACGTTTCCGCTCGGCAACCGACTTTAGAAACGTACCCCATTTTCGTGTTACTCTAAGCATATGGTCTCCTCATCAGCTGGTAGGCCTAATGAGTAAACACTGTAATCGTGTTGAGACAACGTTTGGCGACGGATCGTATTTGTTTCTTGATATTGGCAAGTAGCATTGATCTGTAGCCTATAGGTGGTGGGAATAGTTACACCTAATACAGACAAACTCAGATTGACGACAATGCCGATACCGGCGATAGGGTCGTAACAGGGTGCGACAGGATGAATAGGCCTGTTGACGAAGCATGAGGGTCACCAGGCGTGACAAAAATCTCTTAGAATATTACGTTTCCGCCTCTGAAAACGTAATAATGAGCATATAGGTAATTTAGGTATACACACATCAAAGTGTTATTCTTACCACGTTGTCGATCGTAGGCCTAATTGTGTAGATGTCGAGTCGGGATCGGGTGACAAATTAGGTGATGTGGGTCTTCTCTTGTTTCCACTTGATTTTCATCGTTTCCATACCGCGAAGCTTGCTCGTTTTGGTTCAAAATCATATGGTTTTGCGATTTCTTGAAGGGTCAAGGGAACTTCTTCGGACCAGGCAGGTATCGGATGCCATTTTGTCTCACCATAAACTGGTACTTGATTTCTTTTGCGTTGTGACAAGACAGGGACCCAGTTAAATTGGCACCAATTACGTCATAATCTAAGGGGGATAACTCAGGCCTGTTTAGCTCGGAAAACGAAGGCCTCATAACGGCATGACATTTTCACAATTATTGTGAGCTCGCTACATTGACTGTGAGAAAAATGAGTGTATATTTTCAAACACTGATACTAACTAATTCTAAAATTGCGTTTTGTTTAAAAAAAGAAAGAAAGTGATTTTTGCGTGTACACTTCCCCTTTAAAGTACGTGATCTAGGCTACCAGTTGTCGGACTTTCATTTTGTGGAAGCCTCGGTGGCTGAGTGGGTTAGTTCGCTGACTTTGTGTGCTGGCGATTAGGTGCCTCACTCTGACAAGTATGGGTTCTAATCCCGGACGGGACTCAACCCCCAAAAAGTACGAGAATCTGTACTTTACTAAGAAAGTGTTATCCCAAATATAATATTTGTTACATTTGACCGCTTTCTAAATGGCATTGTGTATTCATAGCATTCGGCTATGGGAGCCATGCCAATATTTTGTGGAAGCCTCGGTGGCTGAGTGGGTTAGTTCGCTGACTTTGTGTGCTGGCGATTAGGTGCCTCACTCTGACAAGTGTGGGTTCTAATCCCGGACGGGACTCAACCCCCCCAAAAGTACGAGAATCTGTACTTTACTAAGAAAGTGTTATCCCAAATATAACATCTGTTACATTTAACCGCTTTCTAAATGGCATTGTGTATTCATGATAACTATTGTTTGATAGTTCTTGGTCCAATCCTGTTAGTAGGATCTGATAACAGTAATCTAAATACCCTATTAAAAGATCAAACTTGCTCAATTTTCGAAGCTTGGCCAATTCTGTAATTTGCAGTCGTCGATAACGAATTCACCCGTTTCATGCATGTAGAACACCGGTGGGTGTATTCAGGCTTAGGTACCGGTCTTGAAACACTTGACTTCAACTTGAATGGGGTCATGCCACACGGATGTTGTTTCACAGCTGACTCCCCAGCTGCAAAAAAACAACAATACATACCATCATCCCAATCCTTTTGTGTTTTAAAAACAGTAAATCCTGATTATATTTAAGAGCCTTATAAGATCTCTCTAAAATATGGGAGGATAAGCACTAGCTTTGAATTTTCTAATTCAATACTCAAATATGACCTGCTTCAGCAACAAGACATGAAATTTGCCTCTGATCAAACTGAACAACTTTAGGTAAGACAACCATGCCGAAAAACTTGACCAAAGTCTTACTGATAACTTGCACAGTAATTTACCTCAATGGAACGGAGAGAGAGTGAGGGGGCAGGGAGAGGAATATCCATCTGAACCTACATGTAACCACAGTGCAACAATTTCGTGAAACTATTGTTCCAGGTATACCGCTGACTGTGTTTGTTCCTGTGGTTCTGCTGCTGGTCATTGTAATCGCTGTGATACTGTGTCTGTGGTGGCGCTCATTCGAGATCTTGTAAGTGGACTAGTTTACTGAATCCTATCTATCAAAGTTTGAAACATGGTTTTAAGTATAAAGAGCTTAAATTTAAATGTGCCGAGTGCATAAAATTCAAACATGCGAGTCGATCATGCACACCGTGTGAATAAGAGTGTTTGTTATAGCAATAGTGTGATTATCTTCACAACTGTGATTCGATAATGTACAGGAAAGGACACATATCTGCAACAATATCTCAAATTGTGTTACCTCAGTGTATTTGGTACTTAGATTATAAAATCTTTGCGACTGTGTTGGTGACTGATAAGGAGAAGTTCCTACTAAGATAGCGTTTGTAGAAGTAGCATAATATATATTGTTCGACAAGTTTTTAAATGTCATCAGTGAGTGAGCGAGTTAATGTTTGTCGTCTCATGGCCATTAATTTAGCCATGTATTGAGGAGAGCATTCTCACATATTCAGAACAACTGTTCTAAACCTTCAACGATTTAAAAGTTCTTGCGATTGCGTGACATGTTTGTTTTCATATATGTCAACAGCAGGAAGAAAACACCCGACGATTTTCAACAACTAATGCTAAAGGCACATACTAAAAGGTGAGCCTAAAATATCACAAATGCGGACAAAATGCTTACGTGTTGCAATTGCAATGTTGCAACTATGTACAATGGTGTTCGGTATTGTTAGGTAAAAGAAAAGGTAATGCTTATATAGGAAGCATCCCTGGCCTTCGACGAATATCTTCACAAACTGTACGCCGTCGCCTCAGATGTGCAGGGAGTATCGTCAGAAGACCCGCCAGACGTCCAATTTTGACAGGAACCCACCGACAAGCACGTCTACTGTGGTGCAAACAGTGTCTACTCTGGACATGCAGTGGGGACAAGTTCTATTCACTGACGAGTCTCATTTTCACCTCAGCCACAGCGATGGGCGGATTCGAGTGTACCGACGTCGAGGTGAACGTTACGTCAATCATTGTGTCATGGAAGAAGATCGGTTCGTGGACGGCAGCGTTATGGTATCGGGTGGGATTACAGCAAGACAGAAGACCCGTTTGATAGTGGTAGAGGGAAATCTCAATGGACATCACTTCCGCTACGAGATCATCGGCCCTGTTGTTCTACCGTTTTTGCGTCGTCATGGGCCAGGCATTACCTTTCAACATGACAACGCCTCATATTATTCGACTTGTTTAGGATTCTCTTCAACAGTACAACGTGAATGTCATGCCCTGGCCGGCTCGTTCCCCTGAACTCTCACTAATCGAGCACATGTAGAATAAGATGGATCGGCGCCTTCGACGTCAACGACGTGTTCCACAGACACTCCAGGAACTTCGAAATATGCTCCAGCAGATATGGACGTCGAGGTGAACGTTACGTCAATCATTGTGTCATGGAAGAAGATCGGTCGGCCCGATATCCTCGGCCCTGTTGTTCATGGCCCAAGCATTACCTTTCAACATGACAACGCCCGGCCTCATATTGCTCGACTTGTTCAGGAATCTCTTCAACAAAACATCCCCTGGCCGGCTCGCTCCCCTCATCTCTCACCAATCGAGCATCGATTGATCGGCGCCTTTGACGTCAACCACGTGTTCCACAGACACTCCAGGAACTTCGAAACATGCTCCAGCAGATATGGACAGATATCCCACAGGACTTTGTGCGGCACCTGGTCCATTCCATGAGACGAAGATGTGTTGCTTGCATCGCAACCAAAGGTGGACACATACGCTATTTATTTGTAAATTGACATTTTGGCATGTTCATGTTTTTTTTTATAAAATCACGCATTTTCTGAAGTCAGTAAGGCAAATAAAATCATTGGAACACTTACAGGAGTCTTTCATCTGTTGCAAACCGAAATTGTTTTAGATTTGGTAAAAAAACATAACTTTGCATTAAATCTTATTCAATGTCACAGGAACTTTTGTTGTTCAGTATATAAAAAATGTCCTAAACGTCTGTATGTATGCACATGTATATACTCCATGTTCATATACTAGCGGGCGATACTTCCTCTGCACCATAACAAATCACATTACAATTAGTTTCAGAATAGTACATCATAATCACATGCGGCCTTTGTCATGATTAACCATGACGACCCTGAAATTGCACATGCATCCCAGTCATTGCATGCATAAAATTCCATGAGCCAAAAAGTCGTCACACATTCACAGTACACGTGGGACTGAATCAATTACATCAGTAAATTGTTGAAGTATTTTAACTGTGTAAAGTAACTTTCTTGAAAGTGCAATTAGAATACTTGAAACTTGAATTTACAAAGCGTTGCAAGGCGCTTTAGTGTTCACCATAACATCATACAGTCTATCTTGGGTCAGTACCAACGGACTGCCAACACAATGGACCAATGTTCGTTCTGATAAGCAAACCTTAGCCATGTTTGGTCGTCAGTAAAGCACCATTGTCCCAGCTAATGGTGGTCATACCCGGACTTGTAAACGGACAACTGAGCCCATGCCATATACATGGAAAAGGTCCAATGGTAGATTTATCAAGCAATAAACACATCCTAATATGGTATTTCCCTTATATAAAAAAACAATGGTTAGCTAAAAGGAAATATTTTCTATGTGGTGTATGCTTTTTGAAATGGTGGATGTATTCCGTAGTAATGATGACGATGTTGAATGTCGTGTCTACTTAGGATGACATGTGTTTTATCCCACGGAATGATATTTCCTTTCAGAGCCTCAGGTCCTGGCAGTCACGTCACACACTCAAGCACAGATCTTGGATACAATAGTAGGGACACTTCAGAATACACGTGAGTTCTGTTTTATATGCATAGTGAAGTATATGCAAAGTAATTATTTATATTGCGACGATGTAACAATGTATACTCTACAGACGCTTTCATAAATACACATAGGAATCGAGTGATAGTATTGGATGGATACGATGAAGGAAGGACTTGTTGTAACATGGCAATCAACAGGAGATGTTGGCCGTGAATTGTAAGCGTGCAAACAACCAATGAACGTTTCAGATGACTTGATGAATAGTGTGTCAAACTTCCGTGTATAGGACGTGGCATGATCCTAGTCAATATCCAAATAACAATTTGAGTAATCTTGCCCACTGCCCAGTCAATGTTTCAGACGTGCTCCTTGAAGGAAAGGTCATTTCTGATGTCTGGCCATTGGGCTCTGGTAATGGTTTGCTGATGGGGGTAGTCAGTTACGATACTTGGGCACGAGCATTATCGTCTTGAAAGACAAAACTTTGACCAGCATGGCGCGCACACGGCACAACGTTTGTCGACAGTATGTTGTCTCGTTAGTACTGACCAGTGATAAATACTGCCATGGAAAATATGCAATGTCGTTCTGGCAGTAATAGTGATTTGGTCCCATATCATTACAGATCCCCCCCCCCCCCCCCCCCCCCCCCCACACACACACACACACACTCACACGCCTATCCCAAAAGTTCTGAGTGAATCTGGATTGACCTGAAAACATTAGAAGAGACCATCCCCAGTTTCTAAGCTCTCAACACCATTGGCATCTGGCTAGAATATGTCGATTTGTTAACGGCGGTAAAATACGTGGTCGTCAAGCATGTTTCGTTTCTTTTCCTGTTGTTTAACATCCACACCTAGCAATGTTCCAGCTATATGACGGCCGTCAGTAAATAAATAAATGAGTCTGGACCAGACAATCCAGTAATTGACATCACCAGCATCGATACGATGACATGCATCAACCAAGCCAGCGAGCCTGACGATCCGATCCCGTTATTATTGGTCGCCACGCATTGTCGCACGTAGACGATTTGTTCCAATGCGTTGAATTTTGATAGTTATATGTGTCAAATTGTGAAACTGTGATCATTAATAAGCATTACAAATAACCGTCGAAGGTCATTAGATAAAGTATGACAAATTGTGAGGATTCGCCTTATCAAGGTGTATCAATGTTTTATCGCCTTGAAGTAATATCCTTCTTAGATAGAATTGAGCCCGAGAATGACGCGATTTTGGTCAAAATTAAGCAAAGGTCAAAGTCACTATTTGGACATAAGAAACGTAGTTATATGTCATTGCCAGTTCAAAGGCACCGTCACCTTGAAGGACTTGACTTGAACCGTGATATTTGTATGTATTCTAACATGCCCTATCATATAAGATGTCCTTGACATGTTTGTAGAGAGTCACGTCTTCGTTAATTTGGAATTTGGTCCTTGGGGAAAATAGTAGATAACCAATCTGCGTACCAATTTCTGCACAGCGAATTGCGGCGCCTTGGACGACTTGGCCATACGTGCCCCCGTCAAGGGTATACCTCTTCGCAAACAAAAACTAAAAGTGTTCCGTGAGAAAATCAATATAGAATGCGAATAAAACTAAATGGTAAGCTTAGTTATATGAAACTATTTTGTAAGTGGTGCTTGGTACGTTTCCTGGTGTACATATTGTTGTTCCGTGATAATGATTACTATTGGAAATACCGCGTCTACCTGACATGCCATGTTGTTACCTCGTGGAATGATATTTCTTTCCAGAGGCTCAGTGTATTCCAGACGTGTTACGTTTGGGACACCCCTATATGCTGATGATGGATCCAGAAGGAGCAACATTTCACTACACTCGTGAGTTCTTCTTGATATGCATGGTGATGTTTTGCAGCAATTTGCCGTTCACATTAAAAAGAACTGGCAAAAATTCTTATTATGTTTCTGATGATTGTGTCAAGTGATAAATATGAGGCGTTCAGAAAACTGTTCTCTTGACCTGTAGTGACCTGCAGCTTTTATGGTACAGTTCAAGCCCCGTCACAGCGCTCGATACCTTCGTTACCCTCTCGGTGTAGAGAGATCCGCTATGAGGAGGTTGTTTACAGGCTTGTTTACAGTTACTCACTTCAGGGACTGATTACATTGTTCGAGACGCTTCCAGGTTGCAATTTATGTATGGATGGCTGAACCTATGTAAGAGCGAGACGAAGGTGATTGATATCCTCTTCCTCGACAAAGTGTGAAATTTGAAACTATGATTATTGAATAGTAGTATTGCTATTGTCAGTACCATTTCCTGTCTGTCGCAACGTGCATTTAATGAACCTTTCAGTATTCAATATCTACGTCAATAATTATTACGAATGCGTGTTCTAATGATAATATGAGAGAGATATAATATAATATGTATCCATTGAGCTAATTTGTCTTCAAAATCACGCTGATATATTTTGTTCTAGTTTCAGAATACATATACATTGTTATTTTTAAAATTAATGTATTAATTTCTATAATCTATAAGATGATATTTGATCATGATTTGGTAATATCTGATCTCTTTCTGATACTCACTCAGTAACATTGTTGTAGGTATGTATCTTTTCTCATTTATCGTTGCGAAAAGGATTGCTGTACCTATTCATTAAGAAGTATATTTTGCCTATTTCAGGAATGTCTCTCTGTTTGATGACTCTGAGGATGAACCAGCGCTGCAACGCGTCACCAAGTGACATTACAATAATACACAACAAATGGAGTAAAAGAAGAAGAAAAAAGAGATAGATATATTTCGCTTGTTACATGATAACATAGCAGATGTACAACTAGCAATATTGGTGCTATAGCTATAGGTACGTTGTGTCTTTACGATAACTAAGGTCATCAATATTGTGTGTAATGATACATGTTTGGAGGGAGGGGGTGTTTTTGGCAATATATTAGATTTTAAGGCTCATAGTATTAATTAATCGGCCCCTTAATCGAAACCTTGTCTGTTCTAAAACCTTATACACTGTAGCCTTTTATTGCCAGGTTTGTGAGGTGATAAACTCATCGATAAGTACTTTCACACAGTTACACATATATCATCAGACTTATGGGAAAAGGCGAGAGTGCCGATTTTCAGGTGATGCCAAATTCATTGTGCCCAGGGGGATATCAAAGGACATGCCCAAAGAAAATCTATTGAAACAAACTTTTTAAAACACGTTATTTAGTCTTACAAAGTGCATATTTACACCAACAATAAAGTCATATGTGATTTCATTTTTATGTGAAAAGCAACAAACATCTGCCCTGACCCCACAACCAGCGCGTATGCATATTGAATTCTAAACTAGAGGCCGAGCTGTAGCTGTGACGTCATCGTGGAGAGACATCCGCCATTTTGTTTTTTTACAGTGCATTAATCTACAGGACAATGAAGGAATTTTCCGTGATTTTCGGTGTACTGAAGACGCGAAATTGGGTATTGTGTGGACGTGGGGGTGTACTAGTTCATCAAACAAAAGGACACATTGCCATGTCTTGAAATTTTCAAGCGCAAAGGCCGATTAATCATGGAGGAATGTTTTGATACAGCGATGTCAGAGAGGAGTAAAATGGAAACAGACTTGACATGCAGTTTTGTGTTTCTTGCATGTTGAGGCATCTCTCCATGAAAGAGATCCACGCAAACTAAACGAACTTGGTTACGAAAAAGCTAATTCATGATCAATTGCACGTGTCTAAAAAAAAGCAGTCCCACTAATTACAGCCCCCCCCCCCCCCCCCCCCCCCCCACACACACACACACACACACCCCAATCCCCACCCCTAATTGCAACACACCATATAAACACCAAAAATGCACAAAAAGACCACACCACACACATCTCCCAATAAACAACAGCAATTTAAAAAACACAGCAAAAACAAAAACACAGCCCCAGCCACAGGATTAGACACGCATCAGCTACATTATACTAAACAAAATACCAAACAAGACATTAAAAAAGTATTACTACAACTTTACAACCATATATGGACTACAGGGACCACACCAACACTATGGAAACATGCCAAAGTAGTACCAGTCCTGAAACCGGGGAACCCCCAAAATGAGCCCGATTCATACCGCCACTTCCCACATCTGCAAAATCATGGAATCTATAATTAACAGCAGGCTCAAATACTCAAATCTAAGAGACAAATCTAATTAGCCCTGACCAGAGTGACTTCACCACACCAAATAGACAAAGTTAAGACCACATTTTACATTTGGGACAAGACATTAGAACAGCACACACGAACAATACGCTTTGGCCTTATCAATACATTTTAGCAAAGCTGTCGACATGGTTTGGCACAATGGCCTCATCTAAAAACTATAAATTAAAGCCATTATTAGGCGCATTCTAAATTTCATTCACTGTTTTTTAACAGACATAAAATATATATATAACAGTAAAATCACATGACACATTATCAGATACCCACGTATTACAAAATGGTATCACACAAGGTAGCATACTATCCCCGACTCTTTATAATTTCATGATCGACATTTTTCCAAATTTAAAATAGCAATATTTCAACAGCAACATTTGCAGATAAAATCTCCCTCTGCATCTCCTCCACTTCAATAAGACAAGTCAAGACTAAAATACAATCTGCACTAAATAGTATTCCAAAATGGTCTACCAAGTTGGGATTCCAAATCAACAGTAAGAAAACAAATGGCATGCTTTTTAAGAAACCATTTATGACAAATTACAGCCCAAAACTACACCTACATAATAAAGTAATTACTTTTCAAAAAGAGGTTAAATTCTTAGGAGTTACATTTGACCAACACTTAACCTGGACACCCAACATTCAAAATCTGGTCAACTCATGTGAAAAAGACTGTCTGGTACAGACTCGATTTTTTACAGACCCCCGTCATATAGCTGGAATATTGCTGAGTGCGGTGTAAAACAACAAAAAAACAAAACAAATTAAACTCACTACCGTATAAACTAGCCCTAGGTATCAGGACTGGCACTGCACATAACACTACATTTTCAATGTAAGGCACTCTTTCACTAAAACACCGAAGACACCAGCTAGACTTAATTACTGGGCTGGGGCCAAACACAACCCTATACATATAAATCACTTTCAACTTAATATGACAACATAAAAAAAATCCACAATTTAGAAACTCAAAACCCCCTATCTAAAAAAAGTTACATTAACTACTCCAAACCTACAACCTAACTAATATACCTTAGGGATGGCTGGATATTATCGCCAGTTCTGTCAGAACTTTCTCAACAACAGGCCTTTGAGAAGATCAAAGCTATTCTGACTATTGCACCGATGTTGGTTGTGCCAAACTTCAGCAAGACCTTCAAAGCTCTATGTTGATGCCTGTGACATAGGGGCAGGAGGAGTACTACAGCAAGAAGATGATTTTGGGGATAGACCATCCCATTTGCTACTTTAGCACAAACATTTCACACTCATCAGAGGAACTAATCAACCATAGAGAAGAGACTCTGGCCCTGATACTAGCTCTCCAACACTTTGAAGTGTACCTTAGTACAACGGTGACACCAATACTTGTGTTCACAGATCACAATCCCCTTGTGTTTGTGAAGAAACTAAAGAACAAGAATCAGCGACTAATGCGCTGGAGCATTCAGATTGAGAACTTTGATCTGGACATTCAGCACATCAATGGAAAAGACAATATATTGGTTGATGCACTCTCACGTGCAGTCTGAACGGAGGTGACAATTTATATTCACCCTTATGAACTGAAAAACAAAGCCAGCTATATTTTCAAACTGTGGAAAAAGGGTTCCTGAATTACGATGTGTGATCATGATGTGTCTGTGTTTTATGACAGTTATTGAACATACAGTCCGTTTGACTCCAAATGAGAACGATGAATTGCAAAATAACTCGAAATCCAGAAAAGTGTATGAAACATCAATACGGTACTTGACCATGAATACCCTGTACCCAACAAAATCTGAATTTGTTTTATTTTAAGACCCATGACGGATGAAGTTCTTTAAGAAACTATCATGTAATTTTGTATAGAAATGTGTACATGACACGTAGGGGGGACAAACCGTTCATCGTTCTCATTTGGAGTCAAACGGACTGTAGTTTAGCTTTGAAGTTTTTCAACATGCAAAACTTCTTTTCAAGTGGGGGAATGTTATGAGATTCCATTATATATGTATATTAACTTTTCATGAAGAATATATTAAATGTACTTTGTTTTCATGAAATGTACATTCATACCTTTTTCTATATTATGTTACTTGTGTACAGATTGCCAGTGATCAACACTGAATCAATTACACACTTCACTTCACATTGTCTTTTCGTAAGCCCTGGTTAGCTCACAGCCAAGTTAAAGCTGATGTTATGCAATTGCGGCTTGGCTATTGCTCGACGGGTAGACAAAGTGGTCAGTTCCCAGGTCGGGTTTAGGTGTTAACTGACATGCCATGTCGGCAAGATTTGAAACTTTAATTGTGTATGCCATGTCGGCAATTTGTGAACTAAGGTGAATTATGGATTACATGAAACATTCACTGGATCTTGTTCGGAAATGATGGGATATTACAGCATAAAGTAAGAGTGTTTTTATTGTGATTGTTACTTGCTATTGCTGTTTGTGAATTATATAAAGCTTGATTAGACTGCCAGTATTAAATTATTTTTAAATTGTGGTGTGATCTCTCCTTGTTATGTATGGAAACTGTTTAGTTGATCCAGACGTAACAAATCCAAAGTAATAATCACTAACTACCTCTATAAAAACGACACTAATTCCAACACTGTAGAAGTACTTGCTATCTCACTAGCCCTTCATCAAGTAAAAAACCTACACTAATCCAATTTACTAAGCATCGCACACTCCCCTGGCTATATAAAACAAATTCAAAACAAAGATAAACAAGTATTTGTCACAAAGTGACGAAATGTCCCCCGCCTGTATATACACCATAGTACCAAATATGAAGACAATCCAGCGATTAGTTCTTGAGATATCGCAGCAACACCGTTTTCCAACTCCAAAAGCAGATTTCCCTGCTGTGACCTTGAAAATGGGGTCAAGGTCACCAAAACCGACTGGTGTCTGCGGAGTCTGTATATACACCATAGTTCCAAATATGAAAAAAATCCAGTGTTTAGTTCTTGAGATGTCGTGGCAACACCATTTTCCAACTCCAAAAGCAGATTTGCCTGCTGTGACCTTGAAAATGGGGTCAAGGTCACGAAAACCGACTGGTGTCTGCGGAGTCTGTATATACACCATAGTTCCAAATATGAAAACAATCCAGTGTTTAGTTCTTGAGATGTCGCGGCAACACCATTTTCCAACTCCAAAAGCAGATTTGCCTGCTGTGACCTTGAAAATGGGGTCAAGGTCACGATAACCGACTGGTGTCTGCGGAGTCTGTATATACACCATAGTTCCAAATATGAAAACAATCCAGTGTTTAGTTCTTGAGATATCGCGGCAACAAACAGGTGGGACGTACGGACGGACGTACAGACGTACGTACGGACGGTCGTGAATACTATATCCCCCGCTTCGCGCTTTCGCGCGGCGGGGGACAAAGAACGGCCCGATCTAACAAACAACTTTATACAATAAATTTCAGAATTAAAATCAGTGAATGAAGCAATAAATATACCATGGACATCAAGACATTCTAACACACCAGGTAATGACACAGCAGACACAGCAGCGAAATGAGCAATTTCAAACCCATCACCCGAACTAAACTGCAACTCATCCGAGGGTCAATCTAAAATCACACATAACATCAAAATTCTTTATTGTCAAACCGTTATTCAAAATTCAAACTCCAACTGGATCAAAACTGTCACAACTTAAACCTTTCGAACTTTTATGATAAATTAATTTCTCGTATCATCAGTGGCAACACAAGACTAAATTATACACTATTCATACAAAATAAATGGTAACTGCAGCCACTCACCAGGAGACCTAAACCACGATTTTAACAGATGTCCTTTCTTCAGCACCTTTCATTCCAACTTTAGCACTCTCCTTATAAAAGCAATATTTCTTTACTTTTCAGCCGTTACAATCCCACCACAGTTTTCAACGCAGTCATTCAATTTATTCAAAATGGTAAGCTCACAGAGAAATTTTGGAAGGTCCCAAACAAACGCCGCCCTAAAAGCTTCATTAAGTTAAAAGCTTTTTTTCTCATTTAGGATTGGAATCGAAATATCCAAATTGCTGTTATCCATACAGCTAAAGCAGAACTTTAATTAACCAGCGCAGCAGCTACATTACAAGGTCATCCAACAAGCCAACTCGCACACTGCCACCAACAACCGCCTTTCCTCGCCTCCATGACACCTCCCCCTCCCCCACTACCTAAAAAAACAAAAAACAAACTTTTCTAAACTATAGCTAGGTTTTATCACCTGTTTTCTTTTTTTAATAGGTCCCCATATCGCCTTACAGCTTAACTGTATCGCTTTAAACATTACCCATTATGCTGCACATTCTGTTTATTTATACGGTAGTATTATACTAGGCGCCATCTATATATGCATTACTGCAATAATAAACCTTTAGTTTTTTATCACTATTATTTGCTTTCTACTCTACCACTACTATATAATCTATGCACATATATTTGTAAACACAATATTTGCATACATATTTTTTTTATATATATGGTGGTTTAATTTATCTTTATTCAACATATT